ACTAAGATGCATTTGAGCATATTTGCAAATATATAGAAACACATATCGTCGAAAGCTAGAATGTAGAGAGACTAACAATGCTAAGAGGACGTTATCTTGACTTCTTGTTAGAACAGTTTCCAACAATCTACAATGAAAACTACAAAACATACAAACTCAAAGAAAAGTTACTTAAGCATTTCCAGCAAAGAATACAGTACTGGAGACCGGAATCATCCCAAATTACATCAGATTTGGTGTACAGCGCAGATATTCATGGTAGTGCTTTTGAAAAAGGCATTTGATCTTGCATCATGATAGAGAGGCGTGGTCAAGAGTCAGCAATGATATTAAGGTGGCACATCAATGATGTTCGCATAAACTTCAGACTGATGTCTTGACCACCATCTTCGGACTGAATTCTCTCTGGAGAAAGAAAGTCACCCGAAAGCCTTTTAAGTTCATTATACAGCTGATTGGAGGTAAAACCGAAAAAAAAAATAGTGAGTGTTAAAACAAGACGAACTGCTTACTCTATCTCGGAGGACATTTGCTATGCTGCCTTTAATAAGTAAGGCATTTAACTGGAAATGCTGAACTCGTCACCATGTTGGTCACTCTCAATCATACATCAAAGTGATGGAACTTGAAACAGCTATGTGCAATGCAGTAACAGCATCCGAATCAGGATTTCCTGAACACTGTCTTACCGGCTGTGATACTATGAGCACCTTTGTTCGCAGATTAAAGATATCCTCACAAACTTGTTGAAAAAGAACACTGACATTATATCTACGATTTCCAAGCTTGGCTAAGAACATGAATACAACAGTGAATTACTGAAAGAAACTGAAAAAGCTAGTTTGCGCTATGTACTTTCAAGCATACATCTGGTTCCATGCTGATGACAAGCGACCAGAACTCCTGCACAGTCAAAGAAGTGGCTGGAGATATGGACAAGTTGTGCAAATGTGCCACATGATTTGGTTGACATCATATGTGCTTCAAATGCGTTTGACAGCAAAAATGAGGACGAAGTTGAAGTGGAAATGAACAGTCTTGTCGATGAAATATTTTATGAAGAAAGTGACGATGACACTGACTGAAAAAATTACATCTTCAATGCATTACTTTGACAGCCATATAAATCATACTGGATGGGTTGAAGTTCAGTGCCGAAGTACCATTTGTCCTAAATGGAACTTTGGTTGTAGAAAAGATTTAAGATTTAAACTTTATAAGTGAAAAGACTCGTTTTTATTAAACAACTAATTGTAGTAACTTAATTGATATTCATAAATATGCAAATGAGCCAAATTTCATATTTTAGCATTTTATTCAACCAGATATCATACCATTCATTAGATATCATTAGGACAACATTAGGAACAAACGTGTTTCTGGATCATGGCCTAGACCTATAGAGTATGGTGGTGTTTGGTATATACGCACTGGACCTTCTAGGTTTGCTTCCAACTCCTAAGTAATAAGCGATAAAGCGGTTTTGGAGACCAGTCCGTTAACTTTAAAAGTCAAGAGTCAAGAGAACGCTGTCGTGTCACGTCAGGTCATTCTATGGGCGATAACTCCCACAGTTATCACTACAAGCACCTTGTATGCAAATGAGTCTACACCAACACAGGCGACTTCAAGAAACAAATATAATTAATAACACCAAAGGGTGGATGGTGGGCGAGTTATTACTTAGAATGGAGTTTGCCTGCTTCAAAGCGGCAATATATCCAACTTTGTACATTCTTGGTTCCCATCGGCTGTGAAGCTTATAGCTCTACGACTGAAAATGGGGCGTGGCATGATATCTTTCAAGTAGTACTACTCACTCTTCGTGTAGGCACGCGGCGTTCTGACTATCGAAGGTAATCAGAGAAATGCCCGTTCAAACAATCCAAGTAAAATATAGTATGTAACCAGTGCGCCACCCGACCAACCTTGTGATGATAATGAGGATGGTGGCTGTGATGATGATTCAACGGTGTCTAGAAGGAAAAGAATTTGATGACGTCAAACATTGCTGTATGTGGATATGTCGCCGTGTGTCTTGTTAAAATCTTGCACAATTTAAGGAAAATTGATAAAATAAAATTAAAAAAAAATAAACAAACATACTTTAGTGAATTCACTAATTCGTCGTTTAAAATGTGTCTCTTTTTCCTCACATTGCTCGCTTTATTACTGCTTTTAGGCAGTGACTATTTCATATGACCCGTACACTCATTGTTATACATAGGTATATGTTGTATCCTCCGTAATAGTACGGTACATAACATATCTGACCAAAACAAATTCGCCATTTGTCCTTACCCGTTGGCATTGTCTGGGTACAATCGATCCCGTATCGTTCTTTAGGCATATCTGAAGATCAAGAGGATACACTTGCTGACCCCGAGGACACACCTGATGACCATGAGTGATGACAACGTGTATCTGTCTCTTAGAAATCTTACTGCAGTTCAGACACAATAAACTACATGGTAGATGCTGTTTCCTCATGACCTGAAAATCGCTGGGAACGCGATGACGGAATTGACACTTTAAACCAATGATAATAGCCCCGCTATTGTGGTTGTCAAATGCACCGAACGCGTGTTTATTTGAAATTCGGGTTTTTGTGAAATCGGTTAAAAAGTCTTCATCGTCACAAAACATCATGGTTAATCATCTTTCAGTTACAGATTACAGAGTTTTGTTTGATAAATGTGATATTGTCTATAAAAACGTCTGCAGTGTACAGAGCTGATACTGATGTCGAACGGAGTAGTGATCAATAGAAAGGGTTTTAGTGCGAGCCCATGTCGTTTAGACCTAAGGGGACACAATAGAGAGGTATATATGTAATGTTGAACTTTGCTACCCAAATTAATTATGCTTTTTAGCATGAACTCTCTTCGGGAAAATGTTGCAGTTTTAAGGAACGCCTACTAACTTTTATTTAAATAAAGACTGAAAAGACAACTAGATATCAAGGAAAGCTCTTAGTACCATCCTAACATCATCAAACGCCGAGGACACTAAATGTACCAGATCTGTACCTGGATAGCATTTGGTTCATATTTTTTATCTAAAACGCGAAGACGTCTACTATGGTACCCTGATATCTTCATATCATGAAATATAATTATATTAAACACAGCCACGAAGCACAAAATACTAGACAGCAAATAGTATATGAATATAGAAGAAAAAACACTGGAAAAGGTAGACCGAATAGCATGTGACAACATAGAATCAGCATATGAAATTATGAAACATTAACAATGATATGGGCCACTTACGAGTCGTATTATAGAAACAATATCGACGAATACATGTGACCTAAAGAAGGAAGATAAAAAATGTAGATACCTTTTGGAGAATGTGTATTAAGATAAAACAACATCATGAAGAAATAACTTTAGTAATGATTAGGTATTTTCACATCTTACATTCTTTATCTGTGGGATACATTTATCTCCCACCATTCATTAGATTAACAAACCGTACCAGAATGAGTGTAACAAACACGAGTTACCTACCCTCTTTTGATAAAACAGATCGACAAATCTTAGGAAACAAAACCTAAAAACTCTTGTCGAAACGACGAGACATACACTTGACGGGATCGATTTGATTCATTCATTGGTAATATGAACTTAAATGTTGTGTCAAAATACCATTTCAGTACTATCGAATCTTCCTCCAAGACTACACAAAAAATCAATACTAAACCCAGCACTCTACCTAAACGTTCGGGTAGTTCAGACATGTATAGCTTTTGTTTATTGTAAAAAAAATGTAACAAAAATAAATAATAAAACTCTAAACTAGCACCTCATGTTGTACACGTGTTCCCACGAGCTGCCAAATGGCCACCACGTGCACGAGCACAACACACCGGTGACGAAAAGAGAAGAAAAAAAAGAAAGAAATATCAACATACAAGTCAGTTTCGCCGAATTCTGACACCAAACGTAGAGAATGTGGTATTCGGTTTACATACTGGACCTTCTAGGGTTGCTTCCAGCTCCTAACCAATAAGTGATACAGCGATTTTGGAGACAAGTCCGTTTACTTTAAAAGTCAAGAGAGCGCTGTCGTGTCACGTCAGTTCATACTAAGGGCGATAACTCCCACAGTTATCATTACAAGCACCTTGTATGCAAATGAAAGTGGATGGTGGGAGTGTTATTAAGCCCGTTAAAACTGGACCAATGACGTTAAGTTCCAGAGAAAGAAAGTGGATGGTGAATGAGTTATTGCTTAGAATGATTTTGCCGGCTTCACAGCGGATACGTCTTCAACAAGAAGCCAACTGTGATCGAGCACAAAAAAACCGGTGACGACAAAAAAATATCAACATTTCGCCGAATTCTGAAACCAAAGGTGGTAGTAGAAAAAGAATAAATAATGTTATACTTGTTGGTAAGACAGAGGAAACTCTATCCTAAAAATAACATGAAGTTTCAAACACTCGGCAAACCACTTATTTGATAATAAAAAATCTTTCCCCTGGTGATGCTTTTCTAAGTAGCATCATGTTCTTAACATGACAAGAACACTTGGGGTTCAGTTTCATCTTTATTCAAGCATTTATCAAGAGTATTTCTGATAGTGTCATACTTGTAGTAAACAGAAAGAATTTGACAAAATCAGAAGAGATGTCTCAGAATCATCTTCTTATATCCACTTGAAAACTTAAGTATTGATAATAAGAGCCCAGACACCCAATAATTACTTCATTTCGACATTACAATTTTGAGATGTTGTGACTCTATATCCCTGTCTTATTGTTGTAATTGAAACACAGGTAAGTTTACTGACGATCCGAATATATTATCTAACACTATCAAAGATGATGTATGGCTATCATAACGCAGAAATTGATAAGCCCATATCGGATGTTCATGTGCAGACAAGTAACAATGATAGACTCCCGGTTAACCTCAGCTCACATGTTTACTTTATAGCTGTAAATTTTACTTATGGGAGTTATGCTTTCTACGTTGTAAACACTATTTTGTATAATGAAATTGATTGTTTTTGGAGCTACTGGACCTACCGGTCAGTTTGTTGTAAAGCAGGCACTGGCTAAAGGTCATCACGTGCATGCTTTGGTGAGAAACCCAGGGGGACTTATCATAGCAGACAAACTCCTAACCGTAAGTAATTAAGGGACTGGTACTGTCGTAGGTAGGAAACCTATTTATGTATTTGTTGAGTTAACTTTCTGCAAAAAAAAAAAAATCTTTCGTTTTCGTTTTATGCATATTAAGCGTGAAATATATATGCAGTTTCAACAGTTATGACTAAACAGAAAAAGATAAATGTAGTGCTGAGAGACCTTCACATGATCAGCTTCCTGAAGGGATGGTCATAAATATATTGATGATTTTCAATAATACTCAAATAATAATAAATTGAATAATTAACGAAAATAATGTGCAGTACAACTTTAAGGAATATTCAAGTTCCTGAATAAGAGAATCTGCACGAGATTTCCAGTCATTTCTTCTATTTGGGTGAAATTTAATTTTGAATGCTACATTCCTATCTATAGGGCGAGTTCTATTTGGAAAATTGCTGAGTGATGCAGTTCAACATTTGGCTCTATGTTATCAAATTCACTTGTATGTCTGTAATACAGTCTTTGTAACGGTACCTTATATGTTATCATATTGATTATTTCATAACATTTTATTTCTAAAAAAAACGAATTTCTGTTTTAATAAAATTCTTGTTCGCTTACACAAGTGCATGTCACATAATGGACTTTTCCGTATCTCTGAATTACATGGAGAATAGTATCTGTTGATCTATACAAAATCATCACATTTTCTTTCCGCTTGAAATATTTCATTATCGAGGTAATAAAATAAGCACGTAGTTGTATAGTATAGGTAGAAATCAAAAGACATAATTTCTGTATAAATCACAAATTTGTTTCTTTTTATTCTCTGATCATTACCAGTGAATCGTAGTAAATCATGATATACGTTGCCCTTGTACAGTTATACACGAATACGCCTTAAGTTCGTTTCGCTTTCTGAAGATTGTATAAAAGGGTTGCATAAGTGGAACAAATTTCCCCTCCCTCTCCATGGACGACAAGGTCGAAAATTAATCGACGGCAAAAATTGGACGGTATACTGAATGTAACATCTGAAACTAAAATGTAGCAAAAAATTCCTCTCTTTTGCAGAAAACGAAAGTAGATATATTCCGACCAGAGGATATATCCGCACATTTAAGTGGGAGTGATGCAGTAGTATCATGTCTTGGAACCAGAAAGCAGGCATTATTTCAGAGGTCAAGGACCACGTTTTACACTGAATCTCTACAGAGCATCGTTGAAGCTATGCGAATGTCCGAGACCAAAAGACTCGTCTGTCTATCATCATGGGGAACGAAAAGTTAGCCAATAACACATATCGCATATTTTAATTAGACACAAAATAGGATTTGGCTCTATGAATCTAGTATATTATTTCTGTATTCGGCAAACGACTGATATTACTAAAGACTTTGTCTCTTGGTTTGAAATTATTTAAAATAATTTATTGTTTTATAATCCCGATCAAATGATATGAATTTACACGTTTAGGACCAATGTATTTGGAGTGGACCATGCGAAACTTTCCAATCGGCAAACTGCTGGATAACATGCTGGAGATGGAAGAATATCTAGATAAGCATTGTTCAGATATACACTACACCATTGTTAAACCAGCTGGTCTCCTCAACAAAGACACTTCCGGTAAGTGCTTCCGGTTTTATTTACAATGAACAGTGAACACGTGCGAACACAAACAGACAAACAACGTCAGCTCGTTTAAATCAATGGGTTGATTTTAATAATTAATTGCTTTTGTGCTTAAAGTTTTTACTCCTTAAATTGTCCTTTGTGTGCAAGTCACCGTATTTGTGATAGGTTTCAATGAAGCGGTTTTTAACTTCTGAGCCCAATGTGATTTCATCATCTGAGAGAGTGACACGACTAGTTAGTATTGGGACTCTTTGGTAATATAGCAGATTTATTTCATGATTAATAACTTTCTGTTCTGAATTTTGGTCCTAGGTGTCGGTACAATACTACAGACTCCAAGCACCAAAAGTAAGAATAAATGTAAAATGCATATACTAACTTGTTTGAAATTTTACAATCGAAAGTATCATAAACAAATCAAATGTGCGATTGTATGATTGGTGTTTAAAAGTTTGTTAACTAGGATATTCAAGAATAGTCATCCCTCTTTGTCTTAGAATGTAAGTATTGCAGCATAAATCTAAATATAATAAAAATATGCTACTGTTTAAAAACAGATAGACATATGAGATGAGATGTCATTTTGATGCTAAGGAGCAATTACAAAGCTTCTCCGATCCAAGAAAATATATAAGGCGTGCAGCCCGGAAGATATTTCACTAGAGTTAGAGAAGGAAAATACCGATACGTTAACCATATTTAACTCAAATTCAAAATACATAAAAAATAAACAAAAGACAGATTTTCACCGACTCCTGAAAAGTTAAAGGAGAATAAGACATTGCGTTCCGGAAGGGTAAGTGTCTTCTGTTTGATCGAAGATACTCGCCATGTTGGCCAATATACGTAAGAAATGACCTGTTCCAAAATGAAAACAGGTTAACAACAACGGAACACACTAACAAGCATCAAACTCGTCCATCTTTATATTTCAGAAGGAAATATATGTCATTGTGACGCCCATATAACGACTCCATGATCTTTATCAACCAATATATCTCGAAACCCTGCGATTATCGAATCAACTGCGAAATGTAAACACCTTTTAAAAGAGGGAATTTTACAATATGAAAATGGGGGGTTTGTTCCCATGATAATAGTCTGTTGGCAAGATCGTATCACTATGTTGACTAAATATTTAATGAGTTAACAATATCACATTAGGACTCTTCCTAATTCAAAGTACTAAAAATCCTACTAAACTTCCATGAAGGTCTTGTTAAACAATTAGTGGAGTCACCTATAAACGTGATCAAGCCAGTTCGGATAGCCGATATCGTCAATATCACTATAACTATTAGGTTCTATCACTACACTGAACAGGTGAACTAACCAGAATAGACAATGGATGTCACGTTTTTCATTGCTTTTGGCAGATTTACCGTTGGAGACGTCTCAAGAACGTGTAAAAGGTTGCAAAATGACAATACCTCGAGGAGACGTAGCAAGGTTTGCGCTTCAGTGCGTGGAACAAAACACTTGGATTAACTCACGTGTGTCCATTGGAATAGGGAGGTGGAAGTAGTCATTCACACTATTTCAATGTTGTATATTTTCATTAAAATTTGCAAAATTAAATTCAGGAATCCAATAGGTATTGCAGATCTGTTTCAGGATGAGAATCCATATTTTCTTTTCTGTTGGTATCATTTAACACGAGCTACAGGGAAAATACAACTTTTACAAACCGTGTAATAAATTCAGGATAACTGTCATAAAAATTGGTAAATGGTGAGTTTGTTTCATTGCTGTGAATTCCTCACGGTCTAATTTACAAGACTCACAATTCGGGTCCTGGTAATGCGATATATCACGCCACGTTCCGTCTACTTTCCGTTCTGTATCATACTTGTGGGAATATTTGGGACTTTAAAGTTTTTATATATCCTTCATAACGTGTAATAATATGTTTACAAGGTCAAGGAATTGGCTTTGTCGTGTATAATTGTGATGATGAAAAAACCGTGACCACGTGTATGTAAACTTGTTGGCTTAACTGTCTGTACAACAATTTATCGAAAATACAAATACCATAGGGATACGATTTCTGAGCTACAGACACTGTGAAGTATTGAAAGTTGTCCAATATTTATTGGATGTCATCACCGTAACGGATTGGCAACACATTTTTGAATATGTCGAATGATGGTGAAACTTGAAAACGACTACGGAAATAAATTTGAGAAAAGACGATAATGGCGATGTCACATATTCCAGTATGACCAATACAAATTATGAAGATGAGAATGATATTAAAGATGAAAATTAACCAGAAATCCCAGAGCAATCAATCACTTGGCTCTTATCATTGTCTCTGTTCTCTAAATGCTTAACCTTTTCCCTTCTTTGTTATTCCACTTAATTATACGAAATTCCCTTTCAAGAAACATTGACAATTAACTTTATCCAAGATGGTCGTCTGCCGTTTTCCATCTCTGTTCAGTCCCAAAATCGAAAGGGAACAACTGCAGAGCAAGAGCACCCCACATATTAAATTTGACATAAGATGCATTTCGTACATTTAGTACCAGAAATGGCATAGCAAACTTTTTTCCCCTAAAAAGTTGCACCACTAAAAGGTCATAACTTGTGTCCAGGTAAAGCGACAAATGTATTTTGACAAAGAGCCATCCAGAATTCTCCAGAATCAGAAAAACCCGAACTTTCATTGTCATAATCCATGATGGCCGTCTGTCATCCATTTTTAGATCTGACCAGTCGCTTATTCAAAAGGGCAAAGCAAGGACAATGGGGAATCTACATTCGAAATTTGAGAAAGATCCACTTAGAACAAGTATTTGATAACCGATTCGATGAAATTATTTTTGTTGCGTTTCGAGTAAATTTGAATCAGAAAATACAAATATTTTTTGATATGTATTGACGTTAGTGTATTTGCTCATTTCAATGCTGCACCCAACATGTCTTTTCTTTAATAGGCATCAATCAATGATGCACTATGCTTGAATTGTTTATTTACATGTCTGTTAATATCAGCTGGAGTTCAACATTCTCCTGTATAAGGACAAGAGGCATTTTCAACAGCCCCAACATATGTTAACACTTCATCTCCTATATATATAAAAGACAAGAGTAGAAACACAATTAAGCTTTTAATGTGAAATGTCTTTATATGGTTTACAAACTGTCTCCATTCAACAAATAAATACTTCTCAGTGATTATCAGAGAGAGTTTACTATTACAAACCAGATAATGTCTCAATGTTGACAGTGGAGATTTTAGTCTCTTGTACTCTGTTCTTCATGTGTGTTATAGGATTCTACTTTGCTATTTATTGTCCTATCCAGGAACTATAGATCTCCTTACAGGACACCATAAATCTGTTGTATTTAGGGTAAACCATATATTTCCTTGTGTATCTTGGCAGAGATGACCATTCCAGAATCTCTGCTCCACATTTGTTCATTTATTTCGACTCCTCAGTGGAAGCTACAAGGAGAGAATGAGAAATTTCTTAGGATCATTCCTACACCTATTATCTATATAGTTATCTCAAACTCAGTGGGACCATGGGAAAACTTCGAGATAACCATGTATTTGATTAAAGCGAGTTCAAATGGTTTTTGTAAAGTTGTCATGGATTGATGAAATGCTTCAAATAAACCAGGGTCTTCAATTATATGGGTTCGAGTAACGATGTTTGACTGTATAATGTGTATGAGTTCGAGTAACAATGTTTGACTGTTTATTATGTAACCGTGAAAATATATATTTTAAATACGTCACACCAATGTTTTCATTTTGATTCATACAATATCCCTATTAGTTTTTGGAGTCACTCACCTTGTTTTGTGTAGCAGTGACATGTTTACTCAACAGGATATTTCAACCCAGCATTTCTCCATTACGGCCAACACCTGAAGTACCACATGAATGAAAGCATTATTAAATCATATGCTTTTAAATTGCAAATCAGTGGGACTAAATTTCAATCTCTACAAAAAAAAAAAAAAAAGTTCAAGTTCATCAAAATATAAAGCTATTCATATCACGTAAGCAACTAAAAATATACAGATTTGCTCAAGTTTTTATCACAGTAAATGAAAGAAGGTCAGGAATATGACTGAAAAAATATATATATATTGGTTATGTATTTAAAAAGATACATTGTCCCAAAACAAACCAACTCACCCTTTTCTGGAGAGTAAATCCTCAAATGTTCGGCAATAGAGTGGTGGAGTGATAAAGCATCTAATGAAGCATCACAGATTGACGAGTCATCAACCTTTAAATATGTTATAAACTGGTTAAAACATAAACTATTTAAACACTTCCACAAAACAACAGGTACATAAAAATAGACTTATATACAATCACACATAAAACTGATCAAATCAAATTTGAAAAGAAAAATTTTCTGTCTTTCATCCAAGTTTTTAGATAACAAACTTCCTTGTACTATCAAATCTTTATTCCTTAGTCTTATTTCATTTTTTTTTTTTTTTTTTATTTCTTTTAAATATTTCATACAATGCAATATAATTAAATGATAATGAAAATATCTGGAGCCTCTGGAACACAGCTGAAATAGCAGCAGATTAATGTTAAACAGCACCTTAATTCTTTTTTCATAACTTCATACCAGAATCATATTGTTATTGATATGTCTATATATTTAAATGAGGATATATATATTTAAAATGATGCTGTAATGGACAGTAGTGCTTTAAAGTGAACCAAATAAAAGACATTGAGGTACTGTAAATTATTGCTGTTCACGGACATATCTGAAAGAGAAACAAAGTCAGTTAGAAATTCCTTTTTCTCTATCAAACCGGCGCCTACGTTGAAATGCCTTTGCTCCTCTTGTTTCCAAACTCCTTGTTGCTGATGCAAGCATGGCATTGGCCAGCTTGTAATGAGGTTTCCAATGAAGCATAGCAACTTTCCTCCAAATTGCAGAGTATTTAATCCTTTAGAGATTGCAGCCTGTGCTAAAAATTGATTGCAGCAGCGTATATAAGGGTAGATATCGAAGTTTGACAGGTATTACATACCCTTTATTTTCAAACGTGCAACTAGTTGCCATGCTCAAGGTTTGAGCTTTTTCCGTTGGTTCTTTTTTCAACGCGATCATTGGATTTCTATAGACATGAAAAAAATCCATGTTCAGCCAAAACCAATCAAGTTAACAAAGAATTTCTTTTCAATTCGTAAAATATTTTGATGTCCGAAAAGAGTTCTTCAAAGAAAAGAATATCAGGAATTTTAAGGAATACAACATATGCTGTGTGGTAATTAAATCTGGAATTTCAAATAGTTTTTTTTTTACACATATTCTAAATCTTAAATTTACAACATGTTGTACATCCTTCACAGTTACCTGTCCAAATGAAGCAATACCGTGCTGATGAAATTCTCTGGGAGCCAGATAGGTGTTAAACTCTGTCCTATCTTAGCTCCTCTTGCGATAAGATCATATCGAGCGACACTTTTGTTGTCTTATCAATTCCTGTTGATATCCTTCCATTTTGTGTTGTTCTGTGGAGCAAACACAGTCAATGGCAAAAACTACATGTACATATAGTGTACTTTGAATTTCTTAAACATGAAAACATACAGGGTAATACAGCCAGGGAGAGGAAATTGTTTTAAACAAAATTGTTTTATTCTAATATATATCATCCAATTTTTTGTTTTATTGTATGATCAAAATACAAAGATCTAAAGCCTAACATTTGAACAATACCTATCATGGCTGTTTGGTTAGTTCGACGGCTTGAATGGGTGGATGATAAGGTGCACTGGCCCATCTTAACATTGATATACAAGGAAACATTACCATCCTTCAATTTCGGTGAAATCTTCAGTACTTTATGACAAGTAGATGTTTCTCCTTTGCTGTAAATTCCAGTTCTTTTCTCCTTATTCCTTCCATATGTCGTATGTACGTTTCTGCTGTACAATCGTTCTTTTCATCTTCCGACAAAGTTCAAGCTGATGACAGCAATTTCAGTTCTTCAATTTTTTCCCTTCATATTTAAGAATAGTTTTGCAACTTTTGAATATTTGCAGTGATCCAATAATTCCATTAATCATGGTCATCATTTAAGCCAAAATGAATAAGTTCATAGCATTTTTTTTTTTTTTTAATGCAAAAGAAGCCAATCTGTTCCAATAAATCAGAATTGTTTCAATTTTGTAGAAATTTTGAGTTATTAGTTGCAAAACTTTGAATACATTGTTAATTTAACATCATTTTTCTTCAGTGTTTTCAAGTAGACTTCCTGTACACAGGGTTGCTGGTAGTGTACCATATCACATGTCACAAGTATTTGGTAAAATGCTGAACATTTTTGGTCTAAATTATACAAGCAATCTGCAGATTACTTTGACTTTTAACCCTGTATTTTACTTTTGTGCAAATAACTTTCATTTTTTACCAACTCAATTTGGTATATTGAATAGTAAAGCAAAATGCGAAATCAATTTTTTGAAATTTAAGTATTCATTACCAAAATATAATCATTGGACAAAGTACATTAAATAATCTGCAGTATTTGACAGAAATAAAGTCACTCGAGAGTATTTTTCTGACAAAGATTACCTATAGAAATAAACTGATAGTGTTTGATAGACATTAAATAACTTAGATTCTCTATAGAAATATATTATCCAAGAGTAGAAGCATTCTGTAAGAATTGTTAAGTAATATGTAAAGCTCTACATGTATTTTACATTACTACTGGAGACATTTTAAATGCTAATAGCAAAATTTCTTGAGACATCTTATATAGAAAAGCATATCATCATAGACTACGTGATTAAAGCAGAATACATTGTATTTCATTTATCTAAAAGAAAAACAAGTAATTTATATCATGAAAGGAAAAGAGACGTGTAATAAATTGGCTCATAAGACATTTAAAGAATAAAGATTTGTTAATTCAATAATCCTACATGTACACAGTAATACATTACTAAATGGAACAGCAAATTACCAAATACTGTTTTCACATGTATACTTACCTCAATACAATACATCTGATATCGTGTTCCACCAAGATTCAATAATTATTTTCCAGTGTTTTTATTCCTTTTTTTCCTGGTAGATCTTGATATTCATATCCTTTCTCCTGTAATTGCAGGTTATTTGCAGTCTGTTCAAATATTATTACCATTCTCAGGTTTTCGATGCTCAGTGCTCCAATTCTGATGGTCTTTTGGTGTATTTATCGATACCCACCTTCTTCCGTGACTTTTTGATCAGATATGACATGGTGTTGCTTATTATACCTTTCCTGTATTTATCATGAACTCCTAAGCAGAAATTTCCATCAGTTGTTATTTACAAAATCTTCCATTAATGCAGCTTCTTAATATTATTTCAAAATATTATATACAAATTTAACTTCTTTCACATACGGTTTTCAGATTGTAATATTGAGAAAAAACCCATCCCTTATTCAAGATGTCACTGTTGTTATTAATATTGAATGATTTCCTTTTTAAAACCAATCAAAAAAGGAACAGACCGAAATTTTCATGCCAATGATATTTTGCAGCAATACAAAAAAAAATTTAAAAAAAAAAAAAAAAATTTATTTTGAGTTATACACCCAATATTGCTATTCTAGAATAAGATATATATGATTTCAAAAGCATCAGCCTTTCAAACAATTTGTAATTGTTTCCGTTTCCTTCACCGAAAGGTATGACATGTAGGTACAAGAATAAGTTGCTTCATGTTGGATATTGTATGTTGGTACGAGAATAAGTTCCTTCATGATGGATATGCTTTGCGTTGAACAAGGTACGAGTATAAGAATTCTGCAGTGAAGAACGTGGTATATTTGAGAATGAGTTCAACTGTCCTGTGGATGTACTATGTTCAATAGTTGTATCTCTACCGAAAAATCTATGAAATCTGATCTTTAAATTCCACTCTTAAATTTCAATCGGTTCTTTTGAGGTAAATTTTTGGGTTTATCTTGCCAACAGTAACTATTAACTGTATTATGTTTCATCCTGTGTTGTAGTAAGAATTCTTCAATATGGACTTATTTCAATTCTTGTTTCCAAGGCTGCGATCCTCCTTGCTGACATATCCAGGGCAAGACGATTGGTCATAACAACGGTTGTTTGTACATGAAGACAATCCATTTATTTCTAATGTTTTACTACATAATGAAGTTGACAGTCACAAGACCAATATTGAATGATAAATGTTACAACAGTTCTATGCATAAAAATTATCTTACACACCAAGATTATATCTTATTAAAGATAGTTCTCCATTATTTTACTTTTTCTGTTTATCATTAACTCCTTGTGTTTCCGTCTCTGTCAAGCGGTTTTTTGACCATGACTGAACCAATGAGTAAAATTTCCATAACAACTTATTATGACCATTAAAATAAAAACAATGGATATAAAAAAGAATTAAAATTTCTAATTCAAGAGCCACAAGTTAGTTTTACAATAAAATTCACATGATGATAGATTTTACTCTTGAAATAGACAATGTCTTTTATTTTCCCTAACTCTGACTTTCAATAATCCTGGTTTCATCGCCTGAAGGGAGGACCACCTCCCCTTGACGGAACGCCCGGGCGTGGTCTTTTCATGGGGGGTCCTCGTGAGTCTGATGGTGGAGGGCGCCTACTTCCAGCCCCAAATCCATCCCTACTCCTGTCCTCTCTAGGAGGGGCTCCTCGGGAACCACTTGGTGGTCCCCTTTGGGGAGGACCCCGTGATGTAGGGAGTCCATGGGATGTTGGGGAATTGTACGGTCCTCCTCGAGAGGACGTCGGTCTTCCTGATATTCCATTGTCTCTGCCTGAACCTAAATTGATGGGAGATGGGAGAAACAAAATGCAACAAGTGCAATCAAGTGTAATTTGATTTTTTTTTTTCACGTAAAATTTCACAAATTTCAAAGATGCAAAGTTCATTCCAGATGAAGAAGAACCATCAGTTTGCTGCTTGATGAATCTATATTCTTAAAACATGATTTTTAACTCAAGCTTACTATTTTCGTTTTCTGAAGTAAAAATTTAAGGCTCATACCAGATACTACTTTCCCATATAAATACTTCTGAGACATTTTTTGTAACTTGGTAAATCAAGAATCATGAAATGAATTGGGCTCTTAGTCCTTCAGTCCAATTTTGAGTGAGAGTTTCTCTGAATAATCTGGCAGATTTCCAAGCACACTATAACCCACCACTAATAATTTCAGAATTTACCACACTGGAATTTATTTCACACAGACCTGCACTTATGTTTTTTTAAAATAAACTTTTGTCCCCCACTTGCTACCTTGTAATTTCAGAATTTACCAGACTGTAGAATTAACTATGTACAGACTTGTACTTACGGATTTTTCAAATAACTTAAGAATAAACAAACTATGATTAGAATGATGTGCATAACTAATTAAAGTACCAGTCAGTGGGAATCAATTTAATTTTGTGAAATCAAACTTTTACAAACCAACTGAGATTCTGACTGATAGTGACCAGCTGATTCCAGTATAACCCACAGAATGATCGATTGGGGCATGATACAGGCCTTATGTACAATTATCAAGAGTAGAAATTTCAATATTGTCATTTAATAATTGTATACACTGAAATTTTATACTTGGAATAAATAATTATGCAATTTTAAGTGAAGTGTATGTACTTATTCACTTGTAATTTAACAATATGTTAATTGGATCGTTGCAGAATTACTCCCCACACAACATCTGAATATATGAGTTTCAAATTTTTGCACTACTGATTATGGTGATATTGAGTAATCATTAGCTACAAATAAACTGATCTGACACATCTGGAACAAACTCTGTTCAGGTATCATCTGCCATTAAGTTCAAATGGGTCATATTAATAAAATGCGCTTTGTACAGTTTGACAATAACAATTGTAAAATATATTTATCAGAAAATACTTCTTCTACCAAGCCTAAATATTTTTTTTTTGTTTAATTTAAAAATCATTCTTTTCAATTTCATAGCAAAAGCATGCACCATTATTGACCATTTATAAAAAAAAACTAAAACATGGCCAATTTTTTTATACTTATCTGATCCATGAATCTTAGAAAGTTGGCATATGATGTTCCTTTCAAACTACACAGAGATGATGATTTAGAATCCATTAATATTGAAACAAGGCAATAGAAGATTCACGAAATTCCATCGCTTTGACACGCGTCCTGCAGTGTTTGACATGATTTCCTGTTTGATATTAAGAATGTGACTGGTCCTGTGATTCTCAGAGGTTTTTTGTTGAATCCCAAGTATTGAAAAATTCACCGATATCAAAATTAATCCATCCTTCCGTTATATTGTCATCCAATAGAAAAGGCAACTTCCATAATTTTACTTGGCTGTTCACATTTTACGATGAAAGGCTATATTCACACTCTTTGTTTTCCATAGTTTTTTTCCAATGTGGCTTGAACAGATCCTATTTGACAATATCCTTGTGATCCGGTTACATATATTTCTTAGTCACTGAAAGCCAAACCAATAAAAGCCAACATAATTTGATCACAAATTCCACATGTACTTACCACTTGCACCACCGAAACCACGGCTAGGAGGCCCACTTGGTCGTGATGGTGGACCACTTTGACGTCCATTTTCTAAGATAAATTTAAAAAGTTCATCATTATTCGAGTATAATATCTAAGAGAAAGTGCTTTGATCACTTTGGTTTGTAGGAATAAATAAACAGAATGCCTGAAATTACAGTACTGTTCTCTGCACATTATAAAGATCATTTGAAATCAACAAAAACATATCTAAAGAAATGTCTGCCAGCATTAAAATCACTACAATAACACAATTTTTATAAATAGATTTGGTTTTGTATTGTTTATAACACCCCAGTAACAGCTAGGGTCATTTAAAGACAGATTCACTTTGTATGCATGGTGCATGCATGAGTTGAATGCATCTTTTTAGAAGGCTGAGATATGTTTGGGTAAGCCTCTTTGTAATAGTGCAAAACTCAAGCTAACTTAATAGCATATGTTGGCTGTTATGCCACAAATACTAGCACAATAATAACGTTCAACTGAGTATGTGTAATGCTCTCACTTAGTAGTATGCTTCTTAACAACACATTTTTTGAAACAATCTCTCTGGAGGGGAGTTGATTATCACATCTGGAGTGATTAATTTGAGAGAGACATCTCAACATATCTGAGATAACATCTAAAAAGTCTATTAAAGGAAGACTTAGAATATTACAGCCAGTCTCTATACTGACAGAAAATGTGAAAGTCTCACATGTGGACAGAAGATACAAGCAACATAAAAAGGGTACTACAACATATATACAACAGCACAATCCTGTTATGTTTCTGAGATGAAACTATGTACTTCATTGATGTGTTGAACATTACCTCTATAAGAATCATATTCTCTAGATGGTGGAGGACCTCGATCATATTCACTTCTAGAAGATATTGTTCTACTTGAACTGAAGTCTCTTGAATAGGTATTACTGAAAAATCAATATTTGGTAAACAAACTGTAAGTATTCACTATCAAAGCAACCATTCCTGGTGACTTTTTATATTATCTAGTACTTCGGGTTTGAAGCATTATGATTTTACATGTCTTTGTTATGAAATATCTTTAAGATACTGGACATTAAAACTTCATGTGTAGATCAAAATAAGCTTATTGTTCTGAAAATTTTATAAATATCAAATTAGGCAACAAAGTTTTAAACTTGCTGAAAATTTAATAACCACTGCAAATCAACTCCAAAACATTTGCCCTTCCCTCACCTTGAAAGTCCATACTCTCTACTGGCTGGTTCTGATCGGAAGGAATCACGACCACTACTGTATTCATCTCTTGGTGTCAGTATAGGTTCCCTACTTGGAGCTCCAAAGCTGCTTCTACTGGGGGCTGCACTACTGTAGGTATCTCTACTACTTGTCATTCCATATTCTCTGTAATGTTATAGGTTTCTTCTGTCAGTCATTTTACATGCTTCAATTTTATGCTTTATAATGCAGGTAAGTCCTAAGTTTCAGTCAAATCTGTCTTTCAGATTGCTCTAATTGAAATAGAGAACAACTGTGAATTAAAACTCATACCTTAAATCTGCACCAAATATATTAATGTTTTCTTACAGTGTAGTTTATTTAGAGGTAAATTACAACTTGGAAGGTTTTACTACCATTAAGTAAGATACATATAATTTACATATTAAAAACAAGTTTATTTCATAATGTATAATACTTTTAATTATGATTAAATAAAAGTTTGAAGAACAAATTTTACATTAGATAAGTATACCAAAATCCAGAGAATCAACAGAACAATTCAAAATGTTGGAAAGTTGTAAACATGAAAACCAACACAAGCTTTTCAATTTCATGCCTATTTGATTCTATTGAAGGATTCTTAATTAAATGTATAACTATATTTTGACATTTTAAGAAGTATTCCAATTGTCTTTTAACAAAAAGATAACAAAAAAAAAAAAAAACAATAGGCTCATGGGCTTTAATGGTCACCTGAGTCTTCAGATCTTTGATCATTTTTTAAAACTTGTCCATAAGTCCTAGCATTTGGGCAGGCAGAACAGAACTAATATATGCATACTTAAAATGTTTTATTGTTTCTAAGTTTAAAGGCTTAATATTCAAATGAAACTGATATCATTCTGTTGTTGTAGTTAAGCATATTTTACCCCTGTGATCTTAAATAAAGGTCAAAGTAATCCATTTGAACAAACATGATAGACCTTCATCCTAGCATGCTACTAGCCTAATATCAGCACCTTAGGTCTTTTGGTTATTGAAAAGAAGTCATTCATATAAATAATGCAATTAAAATCAAATACATATTATCACAATTTTCCTCTAAAATAGCATCAAGCATGATGTAGTCATCCAATCACTTATCCTTGATATCATTAAATTTTTTTATTTTTCATTTTTTTTTAAAAACCCATTTGATATCTTACAGGAAGATTCCAACCGTGACTAAGCCTTTGTATAATATCTTCAACAAGGAAGGGGTAATAATTTATCTTTGAATAATTTGAGTGAAAACATTCTACATCATAAGAGTCAAATAAATTTGTTTCATCGTTTATATGTGGTTATTCAGGTCATAAACATTTAACATTTACATGACTGACATCTGATACTTTACCAGAATAGCCATTACCAAATTTGTCATGAAATATATTTGCAAAACAGTTGCAATATGAAAATGCAAAATAAATCTATCCTTACCTGGAATATTCATAGTTTGTGCTGAAGAGAAAATGAAGAGAGAAAATCAGTTTGAATGACAATTCTTGAAAAATCCAACATCAAGCACAAAGGAATAAGAATGTCAGATTTAGGTTTAAATCATCTGATAAAAGTTAGGACAACAATTTATTTCCAGTTGAATTTTTCATTGATCGCACATATACATATCTACAAACACACATGAAATCTACAATTGCCGAAAAGTTGACAGAATATCTCTCTTTGTTGAATTGTCAGTTGGGTTAGTAAAATTACATAACACTGAGAAAATTAAGTTAAATAAATCTGGAAGAAGTTTATTTTTTCAAAACATGCATGTGATAAATGTTGCTAGTTAAACTTTCGTTGTCATCATTCACAGAATGAAATTTCAGCACTGAATATCCAGTTTACACTGTACATACATTTATATCAAAACAAATGAACATTATAAAAAATTAATGAAGGACCTCATTATGTTTGCACTGAAAGAAATGGCAAAATGATTCAAAAGGAATGATATAGAGGTCTTGTAGCTCTTTTTGTTCAAAGGGCAATCTCTCCCTCCTCCTCTGGAAGAAGAATTTTGAACAATACTGTCTATTCAGTTTTCTGAAATACATGAAGAAAGTTAACCTAACGCACCTGGCAGGGGCTCTGTCACGTGCTGCTGGTGGGGCTCTATCCCGGGGACCAGGAGCTCGGTCATAGCTGCTGTAACTATCCCTGGAGGGGTAGTCCCTGGATGGGGCAGGTGGTGAGTATTCCCTAGTGGGAGGAGGGTAATCTCGTGAGTTCTGTGAATAATCTCTAGCTGACCCACGACTGGGGGGCATGCGACTGCAAAACACAATCATCAACAAACACTACAAACAAAATATCATGCTGTTATTATGAGACAAATACTGAAGCAAATCCATACACAGCAAGGCAAGCATTGTTAGCAAAATCTAAGGGGATGAAACATAATTTATTTCTAAAATTGGAAAAGTGCATAAAACATGCTTCTTGTTTATTCACCATGTTGAAAATCTAAACAGGCAAGAACATGTTGAAACACAGATGGCCAAATAGACCTACATAGCTGATCTGAATAACATATAGTGGGTTGTTTTCGCAGCAATAGTATTTTCGCCATTTTGCAGTACATTAACGTGACAGCAAAAATTCAATCCGTGAAATCATAAGACACAGGCATATTAATATCCTTTGACATGCAGATTGTAAGAATTTAATTTCTTACAAGTTATAATAATCGTTTTACAAAAAAATTGTGTAAACTTCTCTAGATAATTACCAGCTATATCGTATTTCAACTATCATGGCAAAATATTTCCCTTTGTAGTTCTTTACATCCATTAGTATTTATGCTACAAAATTTAATATTTCTTCATTTACTACAGCATTAAGTCTTTTCAATTTGTTGTTCATAATAATTTTCGACATTCAGATCTCTAGTTTTTCAAACTGTATTATAGCATTCTTCATGCCCTGATCATAAAACATAAAAGGAAGCTTCAGATCCCCTTTATACAATCCTTTCATCTGTTTAAAATAGTTGATATTAAAGACTTTTGGACCCAATCTCTCCTCCCCATATTAAGAGCCTGACCTTTTCATACATATTGATTTTTTTTTTAACCAATCATTGTTCCAAACCATCTTTGGTCAACAGCCCCTACACCTTCATCACTTTTTCCCCTATCGGGGCTCAATTCACTACACTAAAGGAGAGTATATTTTGCATTCTTAAAACACAGGCTGACTTTAAAAACAAATATTAAAATATGGCTAAAATTCTGATTTCAACAAAGCATTGAAATTGTTCAAAATTTCTTTTTTCTCCTTTCAGAATATGAAGTAACTAGAGATAAGGCAACTGATATCTGATGCTTCTTTTCCACAAATTTATCAAATCACAGATAATGGTATTGTTATCATTACATTATATCATCACAAAATTATTTTACCTGTCGACTGGAGGACCCCGACCATAGTCACGTGTCGGTGATGGGTATGAGTCCCTACGGGGCGGTGCTCCTCTGTCCATCCTCTCTTGTCTATCCATCCTGTCCATTCTCTCCATTCGGTCAAAATTATTGCCTGCATACCTCTCTCCTTCACCTAAATGAAACACCAGAAGCAAATTAAATATTCCAATAGTTGTAATAGAGGAATCCAGTAAAAGACACAGATTTGACTATCATAAACACATGCACTGTATTTCCATTTAATGCTTTTAATTTTAAATTTAACTGGGTATGGCTAAATTACTGAAGTACTGCTAGTTACCTGGTAGCGATAGCCTAGGAACCTATACATGAAACTTGAGAAAAACCTATGCTGTAGTTCTCAAGAAATAGCAATAACAAACTTTCCAAGTAAAATCCAGTCGGCCACTTCGTTTTTCTGATCAGACCCAAGGGGCCCCTATTCTTGAAATTTGAGAAAGATCTATGCATTAATTATCCAGAAATGGAGATAACAAACTTTCAAAGTGAAAATCAAAGATGGCCGTCTGTCAGCCATTTTGTTATTCTGATCTGTCCTATAATCAAATGGACACAACTAGGGACAAAGGGAAACCTACATATGAAATCTGAGACAGATCCATCCAGTTCTTCTCAAGAAATAACAATAACAACAATTGTTTATGGACAGACGACGGACAATTTGAATAGCCCATCATCGTAGTAAGTTCTACTAAAAATACAAACAAATGTATAATGAAGTTTCAGTAGGCATATTTACATGTAAAGTGCAGTATCACACATGCTCCACATTTTCCTTAATGTCACTGCAAAAGTAGAATTCAGGGCAAGTTTTGTCTGTAGGTCTGACCAGTTGGACAACGTTTGTTTGTTTTGAAATAAGGACAGACCTACTGATTTTATTTTGCTTTCTAATGAACTTTGACTAAGCCTTTCAAGGACTGCATAATATTTGCACGTCCGTCCCTATTTATATCTAAAGTGTTACTTTTGTTACGTATGGTCTGTCCACAGACAAATAGGCACCAGGTGCATAGTCATTTGAGAGCACACTGTGTAATTTGAATGGGACACATACATGTTTATAAATGAATTACAAATCTTTTACTGAAACACCTTAGGAAGGATTTGGCGACTTTCATTCAGTGATAATAGTTAATGGAGGAATGTTAAGATCAATATTATAGATAATTTCTTCAGTAGTGCTCATATAAATTCATTTTCATTATATCTACATTAATATATTTTTTCACTTTTATATTTTTTCTTAAGGTTATGCATCTAGGAGCTTTAAGATTAAATATTCAATTTTAAAAAAAAAAGTCCATTAATATATCAGTATTAATTAATCAATTAATTTATCATTTATGTATAAATATATCTTTTAGCCAGTGAATAATTTACAAAGATACACTCATGTATATTGCAATATTTTTGTGTCATGCAATTTTTGCAAAAATCCCAAAAATGTACCTTTAAAATTTTTTCAATTTCTTTTTTTGTAATTTCATCATCTCACAAGTTTGAAAGGCTTCTTTTGAAGAAGTTGAATACATCAAAATGGTCATAGCTTACATATAAACCCATGTAGATTCTAATTGGAGATCTTACTAAACAAAGAGATTTATATACCAACTAGTATTTATTTATTACAGAAGCATTTACTGCTAAAAAGTGTTCTGGTAAGTCAGCTCAAAGGATGCATTACCAACGCATTTACAATACCAAGGTAATAGGCAAATTGTGCATTTTTATTTTCGTGACTTTAAAAAATTGTATAAGTGCAAAAAAATTCCCTTTAAATAATGTTTCTTAAAAACAATGTTTGATTGATGACAACTTAAACATAAAAGCAGGCCTCTGGTTTTTAATTCCAATAAATTGCTAAAACAACATACCTTATAGGAAGAATAAGAAAACTTACCATCAAATCTGAATGTCTCTTTCTTTGTACTTATTTCTAATATAACTTGGACCTATTCAAATGAAGTATGTGAATACTATCTTAATGTGTTTCATCTTTCCCAATTTTTACCTCGCCTTGGTGGACTATCGTGTGATTGAGGAGGTCCCCTTCTTGGGCCTGATCCAAACATTGGTCTCTCTGATCTGTCCATCCCACCTTTCATCCCCATCGGTTTTCGATCCTCAAATGAATCTCTATTGTAAGAGCTGTAGGAACTACAAAAGAAATATACAAAATGTTACACGAAAAACCAACCTTCAACTCCAAATAACTGAAAGTCCGAGGAACTAACACGACAATCTTCATGTCAAAATTTTTTAAAATCAAAAGTTGTCTTTGAAGAAACTTAATTTATCAAAAGTTTAATTAATAAACTACCTTCCACCACTGTATCCTCCACGCCCCCTTGGGGCCCCTCGACTACCTCTGTAACTTCCACCTCCACCACGTCTGTCAACACCACTTCCTCTTCGTGGCCCCATTGAACTGCCACCCCTTGTGGGGCCTCCTGGTCTTGGTGCCCTCATTCTTCTGTCTCTGTCAGAGACTGAGCGTCTTCTAACTGGAGACCTGCTGCGTGCCTTACTTCGATCAGACGAGTTACGACTTGGCCTTGCTCTATGTGGCTTAGTTGCCTGTTCTACGTGGATAGTTTTGCCCTTAAGTTCCTGTATAAAGATATTTTCTGTTGCAAAATTCAAATGCAAAACAGCTCAAAACATAATTCTCCATAAGAATAATAAATCTTACTTATTTGCCAAACAAAAATGTGCAAATATAGGGCAAGATACAACAGCTACGAGCATCCATATATATGGGTTTTCTACATCATGTAAAAATTTGTCTGAACAGCAAGGATAAAAAAAAACAATCATTGCATACATTTAAAATTGTGTACAATAATCTTCCTTTATCATATCTATTTTACCATCAGACTTTGTTTGCCAGGTCTCCTACATGTCTTAGATCTGTTCAATAAGATCAGCTCTGTACAGTTACCTGTCCGTTTAAAGTCTTCACTGCGTCTTCACCATCCAATGGATTTTCAAATGTGACAAAACCAAATCCTCTTGATTTATTATTTACTTTGTCTCTGATCAAAATTGCTGCAGATGTAAAGAAATATATTTTCAAACAAAAATATATGTAGGCTGAATATGTGATCATTAAGAAATATAAACAAAAGTCAACATTGTAACACCGTGAAGGAAATGTATAGGCACATTCAGACCCTTCCATCCATCAAGAGTATTTAAGTGTACTAAGTTTGACCATCCCCCACCCCCCCCCACCCACGTGAAATCCACCACATTATGGTGTTTCACCTTGTTTCAAATTTGCAAAAATGGTTGTCCCGGACACATGTTTTATGATTACAATAAAATTGATATTTTTCCTCACATCGTCTTAAAATGTAGAATAAACACATACATTAAGTAACAACTGTCTGACCCTAAGGCTGCAATAAAAAGCTCCCAACTCCAACTTACTCTCTGTCAAGCGGCCAAATTTAGAAAATTTTTCTTCCAATGCCTTTTCGTCTACATCTGTTGGTAACCCACCCACAAACACTTTGCCAGGTCGATCTTTTTCTATTGCATCACTCGGCATCAGGGTCTATAAGAAATGCAAGAGCATTCAATCCATAAATTTCAAAATAAGTACATGCATCTACAGGTACCTTCAAATCAATATCTTTCCAATTGTGTATGTATACATGCATGCAGCTGTCACAATCTACTAGACACATTATGAAATCTGTCAGTGATCATTGATGCAAAATTAGATAATGCAGAATTATATGTTAGTTTACAAAAGTGACAATTCAATATCATATCACTGGAGTTTGTACATAGCAGAAGTCTAAAGATTTAAACTGAGGCCATGAAACACTCTTTATCAACAATTGTGATTAAGCATGGTCTGAAAATGAGCCAAAATTCTCCCATTCCCAAAGGAATAACTTAATCTTCACTGTATACCGTATTTTCCTGATTATATGTCACAGCTTTTTCCCTCAGCAGTCCGGATTATATACCAGTGTGGCTTATATGCAGGCAAAAAAATTTTCAAAATGAAAAAAATCAATGAACTGCATTGTCTGGACATCAGTTTCCGACTTATTTCAGAACGGCGATTTTGTTGTTGCATATCACATGGACTAGGTACGAGACGTAGGTACCAAAATTTATAGGAGTACTTGTACGAGATGTAGGTACCAAAATTTGTATGAGTACCTGTACGAGATGTAAGTACCAAGTTTTTTATGAGTACCTGTCAATCACGTGCTTGTGACTGAAACAGATTGCCTGTAACCATTATTTGCACCCGTACACAGGATGATTTGGTTTACAATAAGAATGGTTTAGTGTAACTTACATGAAATAATATGGGACTATAAGAGTTTTGTAAGAATGCATGGACCTTCGCTAATATTTAACAGTATAGACACAGATGGAGATATTGTAAGTAAATTGTACATAACTTATGGCCCTATATCTGTGCATGGACAATCTTTGCAGGTTTCCAAGCCAAATGAGTTCAATAATTGCTATTTTAAGTTTTTGAAACACATCAATAAAACGGAAGATTATCGGTGTATAATTCATTTATGTTTCACTGACAATCTTGATAAATAATATATAACCTGGAAAATACGGTATTCTCAATTTCTACAATGAATTATGAAACTAAGCAACAGCTAAAAGGACTCAAGAACAATTTGAAAGTTTCTAAGATCGCTATAAAACAAACTGACAACTAACATGCAAATAGGGATGTTCCGAAGATGTTACCTGTGTAAATCTAACAGTATTAGAATATGATCAGCAATCTATACATAAGTCTGACTGATTCTGACTTTCTATTCATTTCTTTTTTTATTTCAGTCTGGAGTTGGCTCTAGACCAACTTGATAGAACATCGTTTGAATTTGAACTACCCACCAGATAAAATTCACTACAACATATATGTCATTACGTGTGTTATATATATAAAGCCTTTCACCTTTTAATAAAGCATGCCCATTACCATTTAACTACATCATGCCATTACAAAACTGTCTGGTATACAAAATAAGATTGATTTCACACTCTTATCTCTTCTCACACCATACTTTGATTTCCTTATACCTTCATGCAAATTGTGACTTGAAAGGCAATGTGTACCTACATTTCTGAGGTGATCTAGGAAAGCCAAAAATGTGATTTCTTTTTACTGGATTTTAGAAAAGTATACCTACAAAAAAGAGAAGAGTTTTGAGTATATCATTGAAATGAGATATTGTATAGAAATGTTGGAGATTTATCTTGATAATAAATTGAATGAATCTCTAAATCTGTATTTATGAATCTTTAATGGACAGAAAAACAATCACAAGACTCTTGTTATTAGATTTCATAGGAAAGACCAGAAATATTGATATATAAATAGTGTAAAATGTAATTCATGAACATCATATACAAATAACGAATATAGGATAATACAAAGAAATCAAGATCCAATGTCTGGTCTGGTAGATTCGGTAATATTGGCAGTCTTCCTAGATGGATTCCTATCGGAATACAAGAGTCCAGTTCAAAGGTGTGTAAACAGCAAGTAGAGAGGACCAGAACCTGAGGTTCTGGGGACAGCATACTAGTATGCCTAAACATCTCAACTTTTTAACAGTTTTAATTCTTTCTATGGATGTTGTCTAGTCCTCCATACTTGCTGAATAAAGGATAATGTATTAATCAAAGACTTTGTATATTCCTCCTGTAGCCAAGAAAATACTCCCTTTCCAAGAAAGCTTTTTTTTTTTTGGAAATAAACAATGCTGTTTAAAGAGTAATTATCTGCTATCCCTTATGTTTGGCTTGAGAAATTAATTTTCTAATGTCTACTTCATGGAAATCAACATTTATCTAACATGCCTACATCCCTTTCACTTTGTGTTTCTCTCTTTTTCTACAGTGCACAGATCTGTTAGCTTCCTTACTCCTTTTTCGGTGTAATGCTTTTCATAATCATTTCACATTCACTTGATTACATGCATGTTTCATACCTGCCAACTTTACAAAATTCTTATGAGTGTGTGAACAACATTTTTGACTTGCAATGATACCTTGTACGTTTTGACACTTGTCACAAAGGAAAAATTAATGAATGCATGTTTCATAAATACTTCTAGATAACTGTAAATTGATAAACTACATGCTTTACAATACTATAACAAATAAAAATCACCTAGTTTTAATTAGGATCAAGTTTAAATTCTCAATATTCATTGAACTCACACAATATAACAGATATTAAAGGGACTAAATGGTTAGCTATTTATTTCATCTCTGATAAAAAGCATTATAACCTCTAAACATCTGTTCAAAATTGTGTACTTTCTGTTCATTATGATATTTTAAAGTTTGCATAGCCATTTTAGTTAGTAAAAAAATTAAACAAAATAGGAGTGGCCCAACATTAATTCATATAATTACCACTCGGGAGAGTATGTAAACAATGTCTTTGTGCATACAGTTTTAAATTCAGATTAATTCAAATTCATTTCACTCGTCGTGAGTACAGCGTGAAACAAGAGGTCATTTCACAAAGTAAGAATTGAAACATGGCTAGCAAATTAAGTTTTGGCTAGTTACATCATTATACATAGGAAAAAATCATGTCACAACGGCAGGTTAAAACAAGGCTCCGAAAGGTCATATGATGAACTCGGCTATTGCTGATCAAAACGGCTATGGGTGGTAGACACAACAGTAAGTGTCGACTAGCGTTAGTTTAAAGTTGATAATCTTTATCAATTTCTTTCAGAGTGTTTTATAATTTTGTGAGTAGTCTAATTTTAAGTATAACAATGCTTGCCTGAAATCAAAAGCATGTGGAAAATTCACAAAATCTAACCATTTAGTCCCTTTAAGATTTATAACTATCAATTTGATTGTCAGTAAGGATATGCATTTCCAAATATGATGCTTATGAAAGAATTTGTTCAATTGAAATGAGGAATGATATTAATGATTCATCTCATGAAAGTAAAAGCTATCATTTGATTAAAATATCAGATAAATGATTGATATGATAAATGATAACTTTCATAAAATTAAAAATGTTTTGATCTAAATCTAATTTGAATTTTTGTATTTACTGTGAAATACATATTTGGAAAATAACTGCAGACAGATTCAAATCTGGAAATTTGGTCTGAATCCGTTCCTATTTTGCATAAGTGTAGCTATGTCCTGTCTTGTTTTTTGGGAGAACCTAACATGCTTGCAATTTTCGTCAACTTTTCAGTGAGTGAAATGTTTGATGTGATTTTTCACTCATGATGTCAACTTAGTTGTTTTTTTTAAGGACTGTTGTGGTTGAATTATTGGTTTTGATTGTGGAATGCTTGCACATTGTTACATCATAAAGATCATTTTCAAACTTTCTTGTTGAATTTGTTTTTTGACCGAATATGTATTAACAACATGGAAATAACTACTTATTATACTCATTTTCTGTATAATGAATTCATCTTACCCATTCATTTACCAGTGCCCGCTCCAGAGTCCTGACGTTAATTTGGTAGGGAACAATTGACCCTCCCCCCACCCCCCAAGATTTTAACTTGAATTGGGTAATCCTATTTAGATAATTGGGCAGTATTATCAACTAGATGGGCCTTGATTAAATGGCCAGGTGGTCAGCCTTACCAATATGACAAATATAACAAGATCTCGGAAATCAGGAGATTACCCCAATTTTGATCCATATGATTGGGAGATAGGGCTGGGGAGTGAAAATAGGAAAACTTTCAACTGAATCACGAAAGTTGGCAGGTATGATGTTTTCATTTTCGCAATTGCAGGCCAAGAATAATCCGAAGGGTTCTGACCATCTATCCACCATTCATTTTTGTTTCGGTAACAGTCGACAGTCAGAATTCCTCTCTATACAAAAACACACAATCTTGGTAACCTGAGTAAAGATTAAAGATGAAATAAAGATGAAACACTTCCATGTGTGTCAAAGCGAAAAAATGCTGTCAACAAAGTATCTCCGTTCTTTATGCCTAACAAATTTTGTTTCCTGCATATTAACAATATTAACATCACTATATGGAATCTACATTGTTGTAAACCTCCAAAAAAAGTACACTTGCTAGATTGACAAAAATGTTACGTTTAACACGGAATGCATAGAGAGACTGTATAAAACACTGCCCTAATGCCAACACATGCACAGGTCACTAAAAAAATTTTTTCCAGAAAAATAACTCATTACTATCGATTGCAACCAAGACAAAAATTAAATCACAGACAGCCAGAACCTTTTGGGATGGTCAAGAACAACTTCTGATTAGTCAAAGTATTAATGGAAATGATTAATGTCAGTTCTAGGGGTTCTTACTATGTATCTGCGACTTAATTTTATGTCATAATAAACAGAGCATTGAAAACATAATCATGGCCAGCATGGGATGTGTTAGTGTATCAAATTTCACTAGGACATTAGCCAGACTAGAAGTCCAAGCAGGATCACACTTTTAACTTGGAGCTTTGTGAACTCATAAACCATTAATTTGTCAACCATATCAATCACGTAATCTTACGACCCATTCAAAAGTGTTCATATAGGTCTAGTTAGTGTCTGTTATATTCAGTGCGTCTCCTTTTGGCTTGCAGATCAGTTTTCTCCGCAAGCCGGCGCCGTTTCGTCAACATTTTATACTGTTTAGGTGACCATAGTGCAATATATTCTGAATCTGATACGTCAATTATTATACTGATGAGAGGACTGTGGACTGTTACTAGATTACTTGAACCTTTAAAATCGCCTAAGAGCAATTTACTTACAAGCTGTTATCGCCTCATCCAACATGGAGGATTTGTTGATTTACCGGATGTTGCGCATGCGGGGTACGCGTAAGTGCTTTGTTTAGACTCGGCAAATCTCGTGAAATAACGGAATCATGCGAACGACCACGATGTTATAGCCCGTTTCAGGATTTTGCCTTCGGTACAAAGGAAATCGATCACTTCACATGTACCTACAGGAAAATACTTTCGTGATTAAGTTTATGTATTAAAAGTTCATTTTCAATATTTGTAGTATAAAACAAGCCAGATGATACACCAATTTTCATTCGTATTTCCAATGATTTGAATAAGATCGATAACATTATAATATATAATTAGAGCCTTTTAATGAGTCTATGCAATTTTAAACAACGTATCGGCCACTTAAAGAACATATTTATCTCCTTATAAGATATTTTACAATTGAATCCTCTTACTAAGTTTAAATTGCTATATAAACTATTACGGTAACGACCTTTCGATCTTTCAACGGACGAGCATTTAATGGAAAATCAATGGGTATTTATACTGACAAACTCTGTAAGTTGCAAGAGCGAGCATTTTGTTTGAAAGAAATGGTCTTTAAATGTAAATTATCTGCCTTCTTGGGATTCTGCGTCTTTCTGGTGTTTATTTAGTCGGACCCCAGATCTCCCGTTCTCCGTTAAGCAATTCTTCGCATCTGATTTTGAATGCATTTTTTTGCGACGTTTTCTTAGAGTGTTTTATCCTTAGGATGGACTAGGATATTTCGTGGAATCTTGTGAGGTTTTCGTGACTGTTGCAATACCATGACAACAGTAAATCCATTGAATGGTTCCCGCCAGGCTTTTAAGGGATGTTTCCCCGGTATTCCATCTCTTGTTTCTTACGAGTTCATCGCCCACTTGCTGGCTATCTACAGGATATCCACATGTTTTCACGGCACTACGATATCATAACCGGTACATCAACTGAGCAAAGTTCGTACAATACCCAGCTTTTGGTGTAAAGGGTGGTGCGATCGGAAGTTGAGGTATTGGTACGTGTGTGTCTTTCTATAGACCAATATTTTGATAGTACCGTCATCTTTCTTTACTAAAGGATTGTCAAGGAACAGCGTACTACCATCGATTCCTCTCAACATTTGAATTTGTCTATAGCCTGCTACTCCAAGTGCTTCGTGGATAGGTTCGTCACAATCGGATAAACTAGAATGCTCATGGCGCCAAACAGCAGCTGATAGATGTTATATAGGAAAGAAAAATATATTGTCGTAAGCACAAATTCTAGTAAATCCATGATGTCTTGGATATGGAGATTGGTCTTCTTTCCTTTCGCCATGATCGTTCGTGCTAAAGGCGGCCCCTAATGATACCAAATGCTTTGTTACAGATGTAGTCCTGTGTGGACAAGAAAACTGTATGTAAATATAGTTCCTATTTTTGGGCAAGACGGCCATTTATACAGTCCTGTGTGAGCGAAGTTGTTAGTAAACGCAGTCCTGTGTGGGCAGTTCGACTGCTGTACGAGGTCCTGTGTAGACAGCTGTATGATTCATTATCTGTGTGGACAACCATGTAATTCCTCCACATGTCCTGTGTGAACAGATGACATGTTGACTGTCATGATAGATGTGATGGATGTAGGAAAGCGTTTACGTGGATGACTTTATTGGTAACTTATACTGTCGGTGTAGGAGCAGATCACCATATTTCTGTGTCGTAGTGTATTGCGACTGGAGCAGCCATCGTCAATGGGAAGGATTAAGAGAACATCAGTGGACATATATACGGGTGTACATAGTGCAATAAAGTCTTGTAGATATTGTATATTTGGTGTTTGTGCCATTCTTATATCAGCGATGCTAGTCGCGCTGGTCCAGGTTACACATGCTCATGTGACATTAATTTCTTAGATTCACAAAAAAATACATGGCGGGTGTTGCCGATGAAGAAGACGCTCACACTTTCAAAACACACAGCTACCATTCTTCTTTATTTACCAACGTTTCTACATTGTGATATTACTTTCTTCTCATTTCAGAACGTGACATTACTTACCTATATTCACAAATATTTACGTGGCACCGATAAAGAAGAAGCTCACCCTTTCGCAACATTCATCGGGCCTTATTCTTATTTCAGAACGTGACGTTACTTACTTATATTCACAGAGATTTACATGGCACCAATAAAGAAGACGCTCATCCTTTCGGAACATGCATCTGACATTCTTCTCATTTCCTTCTTTGTTCAAATTAAGCCACGTTTCCACACTTCGATATTTTCTTATTTCCTCACACCTCGACAACTCTCTAGACCTAGAATCTGTCCACTGTTCTATCATCCGTTCCAAGATGACCTATGTACAATGTCCTCTTACTATCTATCCGCGATGTTATTTTTGTCTGCCTCGGTATCGATGCTCACATACAAATATCCCGAATACTCGAAATCCTTCCAACTTCTTCCCATAAAATGTTGATCACACAATATTTCCGCACTCTGTCAATGTTTCCATGGTTTGACCAACACAATATACGGACCTGCCGCCTATCAAAATGTTGATCTTTAACAATACGAACACGTGTTGACGCTTCCAGTCCCTTTTCGTTATAATTATATTTTTTTGTACTTCTGCGTGTCTGCCTACACTTCTGATCCAATGTGTATTGTGTTTGCCCTTGTCTACACATTTCATAAATTCCTTACACGACTCGTCTCCACAAGTCAGCGGTGTTCAATATGTAATACTCTTCAATGATCGTGACCCATGAATGTTCGAAAGTGACATAAATTGTGTTGCGTCATTAATATTAATCTTCATAACAGAATAAATAAAATATACATCAGTAATAAATAAATGAAAAAAAACCACAATTGATTCCGGGGAAAGATTTACTTCAATAGACACCATGATATCCAAACATGTGCTGTACTTTACATAACCGAAATTGAGAACAGTAACATTCATCTCTAACAATCTTAATATATATGTAACGTATGATCAGAACATTTCCGAACCACTCAGTATCAAACTATCGAACTATTCAAACATAACAATCATGTTTTTAGAACAAATGCTTAAATTGCTTTATGCACATCTGGCACATCTTATTTAAAATGATACAAAATGAAACGACATCTAACACTAAATTAAAATAGCACTCAATTACTTGCTTGTTTAATTTATAAATAATCAAACGTGTGTTTTATTACGTAACCGACAAGTTTTAATAACTTTCGGTGATATATTTTTTATCTGGGGCGTTACAACAGACAATCAATGAGTAGACAATGCAAAAGAAGTGGCACCAATAATAATTTGGATATTGTCTGGGGAAAAGAACTTCTGGGTTGTAAGGGGAAACATCTAAAAACATCGCTTTTGCTGTCTCTTAAAGTACCCGAACCGAATCGACACATTTCATATTTCAAGTAAAACCATAAAAAACAAGAACATAATACGAACGTTAGTTAACTGGTGCCGTCTGGTGTAGTATTCCCGAACCTTCTGTTCAATAACACTGTGGTGTAGTCTACGACAATAAAAATGTAGCATTATAACGACCATTTGTTCCCATCAAATTCTCCGAACAGTATAAACATTGAGAAGAAAGTAAAATACTGTATTATGTACATTGTATAGTTTTTGTGTTAAGCTCTGAGATAATATTTACTATACAAATGTCCAATTCACATTTCTTGTCAATTGCTCAAAGGTAAAACAACAAATTACTTGTTTACGACTTAACAAAAAGAGCAGACAACTCGGTAATGACAAAAAAAAAAAAAAAAACGACAAAGTTTCTTAAGCATAGTGATATACACTAATATAAGAATATACAGTGCATATCCAAATATCTGTTTACACGCATTCACTATATACACACAAATAACACGTCTACAAATAGATAACATCCGTCATATATTTTTGACATATTTACAAAAGTAAAAGTATTAATAATCGAAGTCTATTCCTACATCGCTCACTCTAATTCCGAAGCCGAAGTACCTAAACAAACAATAGCTTCCTCATCAAACAATGGATTAGAGGGATACAAAAATCCGAAACATTTAATTTTAAATTGCGGTTAAATAAAATCGATTTTGTCACAATTCGGAATATACGGAAACTGGTGTCACCTTTTTAACAGAGAGAGAGAGCGTGGAGAAATGATACCGTCGATTCCTGCGTTTATAACACTGTTGTGTAAAATCTTCAATACAGCGATTTTATCAGATTTTGTGACTTGCACATGAACAGAAAAAACCAAACCAATCAAAGCAAATGATGTGAAGTATAAAAATAGTTCACCAAATAGCAAACTTCATCTTAAAACATTTTATCAAATTTAGTAACATCGCTAGACTGCTCCAAATTGAGCAGGGAGATGTTATACATTCAAGAGAGCGTTACGATACGTTTGTAGGTGCAAAGAACGACAACCATGGTAGAGACAGAAGGGAGTTGGCGCTGTATGGAAGGCTTTACACAGCAGTGCTTGGCAGTGATAATCTCCTGAGGTCTGCCTACTGTGAACATTGCATTGATCGTTGCAGATTATACAAACAAACTGAACAGTTAATTACCGCCAGGCATGCACTTTTTACATAATAGTACATAAACTATTGTTTATGAAAATCAAACCAATTTTTATCTTTTGCGATTCTGTACATATACAAGAAGACCATATATAAAAAAAACTGCAATACACATACAGCATGGATAAAAGTCCTCAAACGACAAACCTCGCAACATGTATAGATCACCAACAAAAATATTAACAATACAAGTTTAAAGAACGTATGAATGGAGAAAAATATTGTCATAATGGTACTGAACATCAAATCCTATCTACTCGGACTGTGAGAACAGTAAAGATGAGAAAGTGAAGTATAAGAATAACATATTATTTGCAGTATCTTATCTACAGAATAACTCGGATTGTTTAAAAAATTCCCTATTGGACCGCACGGAATGGAAGGATAACCAAAACTGAACAACTCTCCTACATCATTGATAATTCGAACTTTGTAACACTAATGATTCCGTAGCAACAGGTACTTCCTCTAACAATGGACCATACCTCAGACCTTAAATAATTCTTATTATTAACAAATTGTTTCGCGTAATAATGATACTGTAGTATATGGTACTCTTCATTATCACACTTATTTCATATACGGATAAGAAAAAAGGGCAAACAATTCTGGGCGATCAAAAGCTTCAAACTACAGCCCTTCACGATAGCATACCTAATCACCAACGTATATTTAATTATGATGGACACGAAAGCACTTTTGGCAAGCCGCCCAAGTCACAGAGCAGTACTGTGCTCTTCATATTAATTTAACAAAATATGAATGCGTAATAAAAGCAACACCTAATATGATTACAAGTTCAAGTAAACACATGAAATAGACAACCAACAATCATACACACATCTCTATGTACCACCATGTGTCACCATAGAGACTAGCTGTATAAAACAAGAATGATCCACGCCATGGTTTTCCAAATATACTGTACAGATTGTTGGAAATGAATCGTTAACCCTGGTCTGAGTGTAAGTACATTAACACCTAAAAGTTTATACTTGTCATTCATCTCGAAAGAAATGTTGCTGAAATATTTCTGGTCCATATCAGTCTCCGTGGATCCATTTTATGGCGCCTGTGATCTTGTAATAAACAGTAACCATTATCGGCGTTCTCAGAAGTTTTGTTTTTCAGATTTCAGGAATACTTGTATATTTAGATTTTAGACCTTTTTCCAGGTCTTTGGTCCTATGTAGAGATGATGAGTACATGGAAAAGATTGTTCACTTTACTGATTTAGGTCTGGCTCCAGTCAGCCTTCATCATATCGCTAATATGTTTACTTATACATCAACTACTAACCTCACCTGGGTTAAACTGGGGCCTCCAACCTGACGTTATCAATAAACTCAGATAAGATAATGAAATCCAAATTTAGGTCATCTGTGATTGTACTCTCAAATATACTGCATAATTAATGATGATAAATATTAAAACTATCAAAATTTGAGTTGTTTCCAAATTGGTCCCAAACTTAGCGGAGAGGTATGCGATACGAACTGTTGTGTCAATTGCCGATATTGTCCCGAAAAACTGTTCGAACGTATTAGTGATGAAAACGGGGTGGTCAAATTCAGGATATATCCAATATTTGTCCTTATTAGAGAACTGTCGATTATATCTAAAAATTGTATCCCGTACAATATGTTCTCACGTTTGAACATAGTGAATTTTTAGACTAGTAATAATACAATGTTTCGAGGACAATACTAAATATCACTGGTAATATTTCTGTAATTCCTAAGTGGCTATGGAAGCCTAGTTGTTTCTGTCAAGGCCAACATGATGTAATAGGTATCACACTCGATTTATCACAGACGTTTCTGACTTCTTTCAGGTCTCCATATAAATATCTATATATAATAAATACAAACAGCAATTCTGGAATGCTACAATCTACACAGTCATGGCGATATACTAAATATGCATGAATTGCACATCATGCCATTTCACGACCATTCTTTATTTCACTCAATTGACTGTCCAGCCATGTCGACTAGTAAAGGAATGCCTCTTATTGTCTGTGAATCTGTTTCCTTCTCGCCTGGACCTTCAGATCGAGGTGACCATTGCTTCCCTACAAAAGAAATCGCGTGATTGTAGACACAATTACATTATATACTATAAGTACAAAAATGAAATAGTAATTCCCGCATCTTGCTAGGCAACGTTTAACAATCATACATTATGAGTCATGAAAATACAGATGGATGAGCTAAAATATGAAGATTATACAAATGTGTACTTACAATTTTGAGATTTTTCATATATTTTTTCTATAACAAACGCTAGTCAATGTTTCGTCTCCTTTCCACTAATTCGGTAATGGGTGTATATGAGGGAACCCTTGGCTAGGGAAGATATGTTTTGGTAAGTCGCTTGTATTAAATTTAACTCATATTTATATAATTCCCCAGCTTTTTAATCACCGGAAATCGTATGCTGTTTTTACTTTATCTTTATTGACCACGAATATAACAAAACAAACCCCCCGCGAATGTTAGCAATTATGCATTGTTTTCCGTAGTGACTGACGTCTGAACTATGACCTAAAATATCTACAAATATCCTACTGAAGGCGGCGTTCTCTTTGGGCCAGATATGATGAAAATCATATATATGATATTGCGCAAGTACATTATCATTTTCGTATACATTGAGAAAAGGAATTAACGTAAAACATGTCTGACGACGCTATTACCAACATGTCGCCATAATCATTTGTGTATAGCAGGGCTAATATTCAGCTGTTGTGCCTATTTGGGCAATCTGTGCTTGCCAAGCGCTTTTGTCCTATACACTCATTCGGTAAAAGAGTATCAACAGAAACATTTCATAAAACTATTAACAGAATATTCAAGCAGTTTGCTCACGCATAATACTATAACCTTTAATTCATTTTAGATCTGACTGATCTGAAGCCCAATTTATGAATGAAACATTCAAAATTCTTTCCCCTTCAACTAAGATTTGGCAAATCAAATACAAGACCTTGATGAAAGCAACTATGATTCAATCGTCTTTGACTTGAATTCAAAATATAAGTATGACATTAAAGATTTATTCCTATTACTATTATATGAGTCACCGTCCTGACATCCCTAGACTAGTACTTCTAAAACTGTAAATTTTGAAACGCAAGAAAACACAAGGTTTTCAGTAAAAGTAATAAAATTGACTTATAATAATTATTATGAAAGATTATGATACTATTTCCACACAATCGTGTACTCAAATGCCGGATGTTACCGTTGTAATGATATAATGAAGGTAAAAATATAACATGGACTTATCTATTTCGGTTATTCTGTCAATGCCCCAGTGGGATTCTAATCATCTGTAAAATAATTTCAACGTTGACAAATTGGTAACTAAGACTCATTACCGAGACATTAATGCATAACTACTGTGTAGAACAGGACATCAATTCACCACAAAATACATTCCCTTTGAAGACAAGTGAAACACCTTTAAATACAAATTTAGTGTTAAATACGATAGAATAAAGCAATGAACTAAACTACATCATAAAGGTGTTTCGTCCTTCTAGGACTTTTGATGCTAATAACCAAACTTTTTTAAGTATAGGATTAACATATATTCGATGCTACCAAAAGCACAAGTTTGAAATGTAGCCCATGGACTCAATAATTTTAAACAAAGAAATGCACAATATCTAATAATGGCGAATGAGTTTTTATAAACATTAAACGTAAGAACTGACAGGCCATTAAAATACAACACATGGTTTTCTATAAATAATAAATGTAAGATGAATATAAGAAAAAGCAGACCATCAAACATAAGAAAAGGCATGAAATTAAAGTATGTTGTATGATAAAGCAGACAATCAGATGTAAGAAAAGGCAGAGCATCAAAGTATGACGCATGGTTTTCTGTTAACATTAAATGATAGAAATGGCAGGACATTAAAGTTTGAAGCATGGCTTCCTCTCAATATTAACAGTGAGAAATGACAGGACATCTATAAATAAAAAAAATGTCAGAAAAAGCAGAACATCAAATGAAAGAAAAGGCAGAACACCAAAATATGACGCAGGGTTTACTGCAAACATTACATGTGAGAAATGACAGGTCACAAAAGTATGGCGCGTGATCTTCTACGATATAACTTCTCCAAACCGACCATGCACAAGGCATGGATATTTCGATTTGTAGGAGTCAAGAAAGTTGACCGATCGGGAATCGGATGTATTCTTGAACCGATTCCGTTCTGTACATTACATCCGTTCTCTTACTGCATTTAGACTACACTTGTCCAACTGAATACAGAAGAAAAAGCTTGACAAGTAAAACCGTTTCGGTAAAATGGCTGAAGTGCACAAGAAATCTGCACATTGCTCGGCGAGTTCGGAAGTAACGTTACATATCAAGATAGGTATGGTGTACAAAGTAAACGCTATTTCGTTCGGTTTCAAGAGGTGATCGGATTTGAGATGTTGCACTGATTAAACATTAAATGTGAGACATAACAGGACACAAAGGTATGGCACACTTTAGAAAATGAGTAATATAAAAGTACGCCACAAGTTTTAATTTGTTTTGGTTTATTTTGGATAAAAAATGGCGTTAAAATATGTCTTGTTTAAAAGGCATACTGTAATATGTAGATATAATGCGGGTCGGTCTGTCAAATCATTTCGTGACAACAAAGCACATCTAATGTTAGAAAGGTAACATTTAAGTATAGGAGAGAGCATACTAAATACTACATGTATATATAATATACTAACTAATATATATATACAGATACATTATGTATGTATGGAGACGCATGCAGACAACAAACACCTATGGCTACCATAGAACAGAGAACCTACCATGTTATGGTTTTCCATTGGCTTCGCCATTTTCATGTCTGAAATTAGACATTTGCCTGTTAAATACGACTCTTAGCCTAGTGGGAAGGCACTTTCAAGTGTATAGATTCTTTTGTTCCTTTTGAAGTTTTCAATTTGATTTTTTTAGGTTTGAAAGTTGGTATTTTCCCCCAAGATATTACAAACTGTCTTCATTAAAGCAGAGAATATTATTTACATACAATTGTGATTTTGATAATCCTCAAGGAATATCGGTCTCGCAGCATTTGTAATGGTATGTTCTTGATATACTAATATATATATAAATAAGTTCGAAGGAAGAGTTTACAAATCATATGTATAGTGAAATACAGTGTCCTATATTTTCTTGCGTTAGGTTTGGACGGAGGTAGGATATTGCAGTAGCGTGTCTAGAAGCCATGTTATTGCAGATGTGAACTGGATACTCGGTTTTGTCACCAGCGGATGACTGCTTAATTTTCTTTCTTGCTCTTAAACGTATATGCTGTTGTATAGACAACTCAACATTAATAGTGTGAATAAGCAATGATGATATTCGAATACAATGGATTTGCTGTATGAAGTGCAGGCGGTAATAATGTAAAGTAGGTAGTGACGTTTTCAGATAACACGTGTCTATCAGCTGTCTTTCTACAGCTTGATAAAATAGGTATCTTTTCCCAGCTTCAAGCACCTTAAACTTGCAGGAGTATTATAAATCCGTTCCCGAGGTCAGTGTTAGATCTTGGTATAAAATCCATTTGTAGTGAACAGTCCCGGTTACCGACAAAGTGGCGGTTCAACTTCAAATACCAACTGAATGCATTAATTTTCTAAAACTGAAATCTTCGCCTGTCGTAACCGAGACGTCATACAGCTGGTTTATGTTAGGTCGGCTATATCAGTGCACCGGAAGTACTTGATAAAAACTACATTTACCTTATTTGTCACACCAAACACAATCACGCTACCACTTACACGAAGACCGTTTTTTCGTTTAGATTAATGCCCTTTTCCTTGTTGTTGTCCTCTAACATGGAGACGAGGGGAACCTTCTGTTCGTGTGAAGGTCGTTCTTCTTGCTCTTTACCCATGGTCAGATAACCACATTTCTGATATTTGAATAACATCATTATAATTGAGCTCCACAATAGGCAGGAACCTGTTGAAAATGGCGAAAAAATTGTTACCAAAGTTGGTCCGAGATATGGTGTTAAATATAATTAATTAAATTGTATTTGTCCAGTAGGTCCACCAAGATTATGCAAATCACAAACAAATTAATGGCGCCAAATAAAAATATTAACTGCAACATGTAGAGATTTCGTTCTTCTATGATTAGTCAAAGATGCTGAGGGCCTATGAGGGGAATGAGGAAAACCCAAGAATTGTCGATAAATTTCGAAAGTCTTATATTTACGATAATTAAAAAAAACCATAAAGTACGTGTGTATATTATGAACTATGCCAGGATTCGATTGACATAACTTCAGTAAGCGTGTGTTGACCAATTCCACAGAAACGGGAATCGCTGACTCGTTTGTTAAAAACTATTGTTATTGATTCTGATTCTTGTCATAGTGCAAGTCCTAATAATATCACACCATATCACAGCAAATAGTCATACAAAGAACGCAGAAAAGAAGTATTAAAATTGGGCTTATAAGGATTTAAAAAAGATTTACATTTTCCAATAAAACTTAAAATTGGACCTAAATAATGAATTCAACCGCATCATACAGCTGTTTTGTCATTATACTAGGACATGTCAGTGACGTTAATGGCCTCACGTGATGAAATATAGGAAGTGACTGGAAAATTGGCTAATTAAATCTACTCTGATATTTTTAGTCTGCGTTTTGGAACATTCAAATGACACTTACCGGCAAGGTAAAAAACATATTTAAACTCATTTTCTTCTTGTACCAACAGACCTAAAATCGGAATAGACATTTTATTAGCATATCGTCATTGTTTAAGTCCTATTTACTAAAAATAATTTAGAAAATCATATAACAGTCAACAAAACAAGCGTGATAAGGGAGTCGATTGGCGTGCTAAACAGTTATAATTCATTATACAATGCATTTGATTTACATTTCATTATAAAATGTTCATTGACATAGAATGTAATTGTGGATGTTTGTGTATTCCAGGAAAGACAAACTCTGAGGAGTTAAATGGGGTGCCAATTACCTGCTGCGGGTCCACCCATTAGAGATCCAAGGGCGATCATAAATGACAAGTAGCCGTTGCCCATGGCAATATATTCTGGTCCTACAAGTTCACGTGCAGCTTGTGACAGGAAAGTAGTCCAGTATCCACTGTAGAATCCAAACAATAGTGTGTAGCCAATCTGTCCGGCAAAGTCCTCAAACAGCAATGGGCAAATTCCTGTTACTACCACACCTAGTCCAACCGAACACAGTAATGACGTCATATCGTCCAAGGTGCTATTGTTCCCCATGAAGGCAAATATCATGCGTGACGTAAAACTAGACATGCCAACGCACGCGATTAGGAAACTGGACAGCCCAAAGTCCGTGCCCTGCTCAAGTGAATAGGATGGCAGGTACATGTAGATTATCGTGGATCCAAAGCTCCAGAACAAGTTAGCAATGCACAGACCCAAGAATATCACGTTCCTTAACGGCACGCATGAGAGTAGGGGCATCAAATGCATTTCCTTGGCGTTCTTAGCGGGCTTCATGAGCGCGCCACACACACAAATATTTAGAGCACACCCAGCTAGCATCCATAGGGTGCCCCTCCATGCCATATATTCTAGCATGGTACGAATGACAATTGGAAATGTGATCATACCGGCACCAACCCCTCCTAACACAACACTTAGGGCCTCAAATCGACCCTCGTAGAAGTGCTGCTCCACTATCATGATAGAAGGCGTGCACGCCAGACCGAAACCGATACCTGTAACAGTGCGAAAAGAAAATGACAAACGTAGGGGGAAAAGTACCTAACAATATCAAGATAGTTTCAACCGCCATCACTCAACAATCACTACTAGATAATATTGAGGGTAAGGACAAGGTGAAGGGTAAGAATGATAATGTGTAGAGCCATGGGTCATAGTTTGTGTGCTGGGGCCAGGGGTATAGCTGATGTGTTGGGCTAGGGGTATAGCTAATGTGGTGGGCTAGAGGTATAGATAATGTGCTTGGCCAGGGGTATAGCTGATGTGTTGGGCTAGGGGTATAGCTAATGTGCTTTGCTAGGGGTATAGCTGATGTGCTGGGCCACGGGTATAGCTAATGTGCTTGGCCAGGGGTATAGCTAATGTGCTGGGCCAGGGGTATAGCTAATGTGCTTGACCAGGGGTATAGCTAATGTGCTTTGCTAGGAGTATAGCTGATGTGCTGGGCCAGGGGTATAGCTAATGTGCTTGGCCAGGGGTATAGCTAATGTGCTTGGCCAGGAGTATAGCTAATGTGCTGGGCCAGGGGTATAGCTGATGTGCTGGGCCAGGGGTATAGCTAATGTGCTTTGCTAGGGGTATAGCTGATGTGCTTGGCCAGGGGTATAGCTAATGTGCTTGGCCAGGGGTATAGCTAATGTGCTTTGCTAGGGGTATAGCTAATGTGCTTGGCCAGGGGTATAGCTAATGTGCTGGGCCAGGGGTATAGCTAATGTGCTTGGCCAGGGGTATAGCTGATGTGCTGGGCCAGGGGTATAGCTGATGTGCTGGGCCAGGGGTATAGCTAATGTGCTTTGCTAGGGGTATAGCTAATGTGCTGGGCCAGGGGTATAGCTAATGTGCTTTGCCAGGGGTATAGCTAATGTGCTGGGCCAGGGGTATAGCTAATGTGCTGGGCCAGGGGTATAGCTAATGTGCTGGGCCAGGGGTATAGCTGATGTGCTGGGCCAGGGGTATAGCTAATGTGCTTGGCCAGGGGTATAGCTAATGTGAAGAATGGTACTAAGTATAGTACCGCGGTTAGCAGAATCTATTCTGATTTCTTTTATGAAAATGATACTGTTCTATGTTTGACAAAGGGCAAATTGCATATGAATAACACATATATTTTCATTGGATACATATCAATTTTAGGATATGTTTGTCATTTGGGTCGCTCTAATTACTTGAATGACGTAAAAATCGTATCGGTCGTTGTTATGGCTTTCCACTTACAATACAACGGAGTGGTCAGTAGTGTGGACAATGTATTATCACACATGTTTAATATAGGATAGGAGCGGTAATGTCGGTTGGCATTCTGTATGAATTATTGGCAATCAGGAGTTATCATTATCCACACAGAGCTATCATTAGAGAGGGCAATGTCTGATTGTTAAGTGATAGATGTAAATATGTCAATAACAATACAGCTATACACATTGACTACGTTGATTAACTGATTCCATTAAATCAAAAGTAAGCTACTGAGAATATATTTACCCCAGTATAATCATTTTACCTGTTAATACACCATAGGTCAGGTAAACCTGGTAGAGGTCAGTCACGACCATTCCCAGTGCGAGGCCAGTTGCTGATAATACTCCACCTAGCATCACACTGATCCGACAGCCAAATGACTTCATAAAACAGCGCATAACGACACCTACAATGCAGAGCAAGTTATCCTTTGTCAGTTGTGTGTTTTGCAACAACACGCTGTTTTTGCCTTATTTCATACAGCAACATAACCCCAATGTCTTTCATACACAATACCATAATGTTTCACCTTTCCTTAAAGCTAACAATGCCATCTCGCCATAGCAAACCTGAACAACACCATATACAGTCATACAATAGACATGTACGTTGTAGGCAGTGACATAATAACATAAGTCGTGACCATTAAAGATGATTATATATTCATCTGCTTATCTTTTCTCTATGTAAATCGATTATTTGGTAACAGTTGTAAAACCAGTTAAATCAACTAGCATTTATCTCTCTCGTTTTCCCTTATGGCACTGCCAGTAAACCTTAACGTTTAAGGGAACTTGAGAATCTAGACAGCAATGTCATCACATGACATTAAGCAGTCATCCCTTCAAGTCGATCATCGATATTGCATACACAATAACTTTTCCAATGGCAGTTTCTTGTGAAAATGGTATTCCACAATTGACTGTAGATCTGGAGTGCATACCGAGGAAAACTGTCCTAATAAAATTAGATTCTAAAACAGAATTGTTAGTAACATCAGTAATTTACTTACTTGTAAGAGCGGTCACATACAAAAGAATAGAACCCGCCCATGACGTGTCGAAGTGATCGTGTTCAAACACCTGTTGGAATACGTGATGAAAAATGCCCAAACTGTACGTGATCCCACATATAATAAACTGGACGAAGAAAGCGGCCACCACAACCACCCACTTCCGGGCGCCCTCTTCTTCCCGCTGCATCTTATTCTTATCGTCCCACGTGACCGTAATCATTTAGAACCTGCAAGAGAAAGTTTTAACAGTTGATTCACAAATCAAACACAAGAACACAATATAAGCTGCAAAGATGATGGGAAGTTTTCATCGTTCTGTTAAAAAGATAGGGTCGGTGTAGCTTGTATATAGTGTAAAATATACGGTCTCTGTCACTCAGCTGGCGGGTCGGTGTGGCTTGCACATAGTGTTAAATACGGTCTCTGACACTCAGCTGACAGAGCATGCTTCTTTGCCTCAGTTGGTAGAGCCGGTCGATTTTTACACGGGGTTCGATTCCTTGTCGGGGAACTTGACAGGAATGCGTGTTTTTCCTGTTCTTTCACAGTTCAAAAAGACAATAACTTGGCTCGGTGACATAACCAACCTATCACTGAAGCATATACAAACCACACATTTTATAAAGGCTTGTGAGAATGCACACGATACATACACATATAAACATAAAACTCCGTGTATATCCCATATCCATGTGTCTGCTTAACCAGTCTTTTGTAGTGTACACTATCCTCGTGTGCTATTTTCTGAAGAAACGTTTCTACACACGTTACATAATGTGATTCATACCGATTTCAGTTTAAACCAGTTCTTATCGCTGTTTTCTATAGATGATCTAGAAGTCCTCAACGAACTCTACTTTGATTCATTAAAGATTTATTGATAAGTGTCCTGTCTCAATGTTAACTGGCTGAATGTGATAAAGTAACGACATAGGGAACACACAACTAGATACAGGATGCACGTTATGATGTTTATGTATAGGGATTAAAATATTATACATACAGTAAAGTCGAGACCTGGAATATTGACAGCGGAACTCCTCACATGTGTTTTAAAACATCGCATTATTATCTACATTTATATAAACGACGTGTTTATAGTGCTTAAACAGTTCTATACTTATCAGTTATTTTGGGATAATAACCTTCAGAACTAACTTAATCTTAAAAAGTGTTTCTGTTATTTTCATAACATTCCCACTTCCGCTTTATAATAAATTGAGTACACTAGTGGCTTAACACATTATGTAAAGCAGAAAGAAAACGTTCTTTCCCGTTCAAACACCTCGTAATAATTACTGGTGAAAGATAACGCGTCATCAGCCTGGATATTTGTTTTCATTCAAAATTCAACAGGCTCCGACGACTGGTTGTGATATCCTCAACTTTCATTCTTTATATGTCTATAAATTCTAATTTCAGAGTACGATCAACACGTCCAACTTTCATTAGAACGACCAACACGTCCATCTCTCATTAGAACGACCAACATGTCCATCTCCCATTAGAACGACCAACACGTCAAACTTTCACTAGAACGACCAACATGTCCATCTCCCATTAGAACGACCAACATGTCCATCTCTCATTAGAACGACCAACACGTCCATCTCACATTAAAACGACTAACATGTCCATCTCTCATTAGAACGACCAACATGTCCATCTCTCATTAGAACGACCAACACGTCCATCTCTCATTAGAACGACCAACACGTCAATCTCTCATTAGAACGACCAACACGTCCAACTTTCATTAGCACGACTAACATGTCCATCTCTCATTAGAACGACCAACACGTCCATCTCTCATTAGAACGACCAACACGTCCATCTCTCATTATAACGACCAACACGTCCAACTTTCATTAGCACGACCAACATGTCCATCTCCCATTAGAACGACCAACACGTCCATCTCTCATTAGAACGACAAACACGTCCATCTCTCATTAGAACGACCAACACGTCCAACTGTCATTAGCACGACCAACATGTCCATCTCTCATTAGAACGACCAACACGTCCATCTCTCATTAGAACGACCAACACGTCCATCTCTCATTAGAACGACCGATACGTACTACTTTCACCAGCCAAATCAACACGTCCAAATTTCATTAGTCATACCAACACGTCCCACTTTCATGATAGGAAGACAATACGCCACGTTTGTATTAGGAGATCAACACGTCACACTTTCATCAATAATACCAACAAGTCCTACTTTCATTATGACAAGACCAATACGAAGGCTAACGCGTCCCAGTTTCATTAGCCAGACAAACACGTCCCACTTTAATTAGTCAGACCTACACCCCCTTTTTCATTAGTCAGACCAACACGTCCCACTTTCATTAGCCAGACCAACACGTCCCACTTTCATTAGTCAGACCAACGAGTCCCACTCTAAATTAGTCAGACCTATACCTCCCTTTTTCATAAATCAGACCAACACGTTCCACTTTCATTAGACAGACCAACACGTCCCACTTTCATTAGCCAGACCAACACGTCCCACTTTCATTAGTCAGACCAACACGTCCCACTTTCATTAGCCAGACCAACATGTATCACTTTCATTAGTCAGACCAACGAGTTCCACTCTTTTAGTCAGACCTATACCTCATATATCATTTTCAGACATTGACAGACCAACACGTTTTTATTGGACGACAAACATGCCCCATTCTCGTTGGAAGACCATCACGTCCCACTTTCATAAGGAAGACCAACATATCCAATCATTGTACGACAGACACATCCACATTTTAATTGAGTCAGAGTAACACATTCCAATTTCACCAGTAAGACCAATGCGTCCAATTAGCATAAGGGAAACCAACACGTCCAACTTTCCTTCGTAAGACCAAAAATGTTGCGCCTCCTTTCGTCAAACCAACACATTCCACTTCCATCAGTTTTAATAGCCATTAGTACTTCACTGTAAGACACACTGCAGTACCGCATGATGTATTCATTAGTAAAACTGATACGTCCCACACCCAGTAGAAGCAGTCCAAATTTCATGTTCTCGGGATAAATCCTAATATCACTTTAAACAGTAGGACCGATTCGTCCCACGTATGGCCCACACACATCCTTGCTTCCACAAACACAGCAGAATTATAATGAAGTCCCACTTCCTCTAGTAGGACAAAGTCGTCCCATGTATATTAGCAGAGTCAACTTAAGTCCCACTTTCATTCATAGGTTCAAATCCAGTCGCATGTCTGACAGAAATCCCTATCTTTACTGAAAATCAATTACAACAGATGGTAAAATTCTATAGTCTTCCTCAGAAATAATTAATAAGACATTGTAACCTACAGTCATGATGTTGTATGTAGTCTCTGGTTTCCATCATACAGCGCAGGTACAACATCCACAGAAGTAATCAGACTGGTACGGATACCAGGCTCTCTGTTACATATCAGTTATCTATACACAGTCGTCACACTGATCACGATAGCAGATTCACAATCAACTTCTGTAATAATCTTTGACCTATTTAGTGTACATCTGCTTGTACAAATGAAATGACAAAGGCAAATATTCCTAATTACCGTCATTATATAATGGTAATGTATCACTGTCATGCTGGACTTTGGTAACAAAACATCCGCACCCGCGTAAGCAAACCGTATGCATTACGATATACATTTATCTACATTGTGAAACTGTTTTTGTGTCATCAGTCAGGTTAAACTCGTTTCTGATATATGGGGTGATGATCTTATGTCATGTATTTAAATCGCTAAGAGTTAAACACATTAATAATGATATATGTCATCATCATTAACACGGTTTTAGTTTAAACAGAAAATATATATATCTAGTGTTTCCCTTACACAGTTCACACTTATACGGAGTCTGGCCAAACTACTCAGTTCTACCGAATCTTATAGAAACCTCACGTCTAATCCTTGTATTGTTCATATGGTTATTTGATTACATTCCTACTTGAAAATCGCCTACTCAGCATCCCGGGGTCGTAATCAGTCTGATGAAGACACATACATTTACCGTACATAAGTGACGGTCTGTCCTTTAATCGGTTTAGGAAGGCACGATGTCCCATTGTTATTTTCATTACCGTTCTACACGTGGGTATTTCACGTGACATGGGGTGAGCTACATCAATGACCTTGACCAGATTGGGGTAGGTGAGGCCATGCCAGTTAGTAAATATAGACGCCGATAAATAAATGTCATAACCTTCATTGAAATGAACATATTGTAGGATAGACAATAACTAACAAGGAAATCGATTATTATTTCATTCAATATTGAATCATCAATCTTTTCTTCTCGAACGAGCTAGAGAAAATATCTGCGAATATATGTGAAAGTGAAAAAGCAACATTTTTAATAAACACTACAGACTGGTATAGTATAATGGAGTTCAACGACGCCACTTGACCTGTCGATTAAGAGTGTGACCCTGTCCATCAATGTTTCCGCATCGTACTTTGACCCTGTAATGGTACGATGTCAAGAGCGGCAATGTTATTACAAAGCTTGTCTCAGGCCAGTACTGTCAGTGGCGTAGCGTCCGTGCATGCTTGCATGCTCAAGCATGCAAGAATAAAATTCGAGAAAACATGTTTTCTTTATCAAAATACCTTCAGCTGCCGCCCCTGCACCCCCAAGCATGCAATTGAATGAAGGCCTCGCTACGCCACTGACTGTAGATTACTATACGATAGTATAAATAATATATAATCAAGTTTCGTTTTATAACAACTCTGTCACGGTTTTTTATGTAATAGGTTGTATTGGTGAGTGTTTACTAGTATCACTGCATGGTAGAAGACGCGATATATCGAACAAAACTGGTTGATGCAAATGGCCGACAAAATGGAATGGTGACACATCATACGTGCATATAACACCTTACAATACAACTTACTATTAAACACCTACGTATGTTAAGCAATGACTTGAACTGCACCATACCACTTGGTTGACATGGCCATGAATAATGTTATCACCGCTTTTCGCTAATTAAAAAAAACACATCAGAAGTTACCTTGACCTTAGGGCCTGGAAAAGCGGTCACGTTGCTGGCATATAAATTATGTAACAACTAGATATTTTCATTGTATACAAATTCCACAGTAAGTCTTATAAAATCAGCACATTTTCCTACATAGTAAGATGACCTTGGCTTCGGTACCCTGAATGTAGACCTGATTGGGGTTGATATCTTTATATTAATACATAT